CAGATGCTCAATAACACTGAATGCTTCTAATTTAGATATATAATATTTGGCACCTGAATTCTGAACTAAAACTCTCACATTCTTTTATATAAGTATCTTTCTATAAATCTTCTTTAACAGCGAGGAATTCAATTACTGGGCTGTGCACTAACAAGTCAGGCACTGATTAAAGAAATTATCTTCAGTATGATTTAATTCACAACTGTTACCCATGATTTCATGATTCCATTGAAATCCCATCTTCCATACGCTGCGACTGGGAGCTGCAAGGTGTCAGGCAGGGCCACTTCTGAGTCTTCAGCATACCAAAAAATACCCCTCTACATGTTGAGCAAGCCTTCAACATTTTTCTGTACAAATGGAACAACAAAAAATTATCCTTTTCTGGGGGAAAAGAGAGAGAATCTCCTCTTTGTGTTGTGGCTCAGCACTGTGTCATGGTTACAGGCTGAATTTATTCATCTCAGAAAGATCAAAGTTTTATAGCCTAGCCAGACCACATAAAGTGGTCCATAGCACTATAAATTCACAGTAAGAAGCAACGCCTTAAAAGAACATAAACAAAAGAGCATTTCACTATACATAGCTTTAAAGTGTGTTTTAATGAAGTTTTCATTATCACCATAGGCATCTAGTGTACTTGTAAATCTCTTTGCTTTAGTCAGTGATATTTCCTTGGGCCCATGCAAGAAGTCTCAAGCTTTCACAGTCTAGCAAGATGTTTGTTCAGACCAGAGAAATGATAGAGCAGATGATCAGAAGCAATGAGAAAGAGCAACACTCTCTGGCTCATTGCGTGAATTCCTGCATCTGAAGAGGAAGGACTGAAGAGAACTCCTCCTACTAAGTCAGGTTAGTCATGGCAGTTATAAACCAGTCTTTGGCCAGAAAACCCACAGATGGTACTGTCTCGTGATCATGAAGTTGCAGAAATGAACGCAACATTTTGTAGCCCTCAGAAAATCAATTGCCTCAACATGCAGAGTTGGAGGAGGATGAACAAGTTTCAGCACAGCTGATGCTATCAGCGTTCATGAATTCCATGGCAAGTGCGGGCAGTTCTTTACCAAGTGTCATGCAAGACCAATCATGTACACATCTCACCATTATTCAGTGCTGGTCTACCTTAATCAGATTTTAGACCAAATATCGTTGTCAAGAAATGTCAGAGAATCAACACTGCATCTTTCAACAGCAGTCTTTTAACATGGTGGTAGACATCCAAGAAATCTTTCTTTTTGTCTGATAGACAATCCTGGTATCCCAGACTGGAGACACAAAAGGTATTTGCTGAAATTTTTATTTCCAAGCAGAAAGTCTCGTGCAGCAGTGCAATAACCCTGAAAGGGTTCAGTCACCAACTCCAAGCACACCCGTGGTGAGTAAGCGCTCAAACCACCCTCAGCCCAAGCAGGTACCAGCACTTTGTTCTTCCTTGCAGCACATCTGCAACACTTTTAGGGCACACAGTCTGTGTGAAGCCTTGGGGGGAAGCCTGGGAAGCCTTCCCACCAAGTTTAACCACTCCACAAAAGAGGGTCAGTACTGCCCCCTCCTGTGAACAGCCCAATAGTTTCAGCACTGCCTTTCACATGGGTCTTCTGCAGTAAATACATGCTGGGTCTTTATTAAAAATATTTTTTAATTAAAAAAGCAAGAAAGAAATAAAACAAAAAAAAAAGCCCCAAGGAGTCGATGCGCTTTTTATTTCAACCAGCACAAGATGTAGATGTAGCACAGAGGTGCAAAAATGTCCATCGCCTATACCCTGTGCTTCTTCATCAGCTCTGGTCAACCTTGAAGGCTTGCCAGGACCTCAGAGATGTCCAAGGTCACTTGCTGGCAGGAAGCAGCTTTTCCATGACACAGAGGATTTCTCTGCTTCAGCTTCTTTCCTGCTTCTGATCCTGTCTCTTTTATTCCCCTCTTTCACACATGCACTAATACGTAAGTTAAAGCACTCCAGTGATGGGTGCACTAAAGTAAAAAGAATTCTATAGGCACTCTCATGACTCCTCCTACCTCCCCTGTTCTTGCAGGCATCATTGCAGTGCAAGAGCAAAGAAAAGCAGAGAAGCAAACAAAATCTCACTTTAAAATGCTACCCAAATCACACAGCATTCATAAGCATGGAGAAGTAAGCCATGTGTTACAACGCAATCAAGCAAGGAAATGCTTCATGTATTTTGACTTAAATTCACCTTCATTACATATGCAGTGTTCTTCGCTGCATACTTGCGGTTTCTATTAAGTTTAAGTCAGTGAGTAAGCCTAGAGCGCTGGAGGACAGCTCAGAGGGGAATTATCCAGGCTCTGGAAAGGACATTGTACTTCAGAGAGTCATTCTGGAAATGAGCATGGCTGCTGATGCATTTTAGGCAGCAGAAATGTAATCTGAAGAGCATTCGGAGGCTGCAGGTTTGAAAAAAGGAAAGATGGAAATGGTGTTACCACAGACAGGGAAAGGCTCAGGACTACTTCAGAGGAAAGGGAAGAGGATCCATTTTTTACAAGATAAAGATGCATTGAAAGTCATTCAAGGAGAGAACTGCCAGTTCTAGGCTGACAACAGGAAGAAAAACGGTAGGACTCAAATATAAAAGCAAACTCCTGAAACTTTCGTACCTCTTAAACCAGGTACAGAAGGGAGATTATACACAGAAAGATAAAGGTCCATGAGGAGTGAGTAAGGTCAGTAAGGAGTGAATAACATGAAAACCTACTGAAAAGATCTTACAAGAATTGCAAAAGCTAGAACTAGAAGGTGCTGGCCACAGACATCAAAGTTTCACACAATATGAGGGCAAATAGAGCACAGAGTGTACAAAATCAAAAAGATGTTGTGAGGAAGAATGGAGAAATGCAAAACATTAATTTGAAATCTTAATAGTGCAAGTAAAATGCTGTAAAAAACACTGTAAAATATTTTTAATTTCTGACTTCAACCACTTTTGTGGAGGTGCATTCAGATGGGCTAAAAAGATTTTTTCTGAATTCCACAAAAGCTAATTACTGCAGTTCTAAAAATATGCATGATCGGGTAAGAACCAAATCAGCTGTAAACCAGAAAATGTGTGTCTTCACAAGTACAAAACACAGGGAATCAACACCTGCTCATGTGACACAGGTTTTGATTTAGAGAAACATATGCAAGTTTCTTCTTTTAAAATCAGAGAATCATTAAGGTTTGACAAGACCACTAAGATCATCTAGTCCAACTCCAACCCATCACTACCATGCCCAATAACCATGGCCCTAAATGTGACAGCTACGTGTTTCCTGAACACCTCTAGGGATGGTGATTCCACCATGTCCCTGGGCAGCCTGTTCCAGTACCTTCACCACTCTTTTGGAGAATATGTTTTTTTTCTAATATCCAACCTAAAACTCACCTGGAGAAACTTAAGGTTGTTACCTCTCATCCTATTGCTGTTACCTGGGAGAAGAGGCCGACCGCCACCTTGCCACGGCCTCCTTTCAGGTCAGTGCAGAAAGTGATGAAGTCTGCCCTGAGCCTCCTCTTCTCCAGACTGAACAATCCCAGTCCCATGGCCACTCTCCATAAGACTTGTGCTCCAGACCCTTCACAGCATCACTGCCCTTCTCTGAATGTGCTCCAGGGCTTCAGTGTTTTTCTTGTAGCGAGGGGCCCAAAACTGAACACAGCACTCGAGGTGCAGCCTCACCAGTGCAGAGTAGAGAGGGACGATCAGCTCCCTGCTCCAGTACTGCCTGACCCCATGCAGTATGAAATGTACATTCTGATTTAGTAATTGGAGGACTTTAGATAGAAACACATCTTAGTGAGTGAGGGTGGCATGTACTTTCTGGTCTACATTTTGGCAGGATCTGGTGCCTTGCACACAGGGCTGGACCCAGAGCCGATCCCCTGACTTGGAGGTGACCCCGTATCCTTGGTTGAAGTTTTGATGGGGCCCCATACATGAGCAATAGAGAGGCTCCTGGCCATGAGGAAGTGTTGGTGGAGCCCTTGGCTCAGTGACCTTGGGCAGCTCCTTCTGCTCACTTCCCTTTACCAGGAGGGTGTTCAGCTCCTGTCCTTGTTGGGTACAGTGGGGTGAACTAACTCACTGCTAGCACAGTGTACTTCACATCCAAAGAGCTTCCATAGTGAAAACAAAAAGTCACTATAATCATCATAAAGGAAATCAGATTTGTGCACGTACAGATTTGAAAAACACAATTTTTCATGTGCAACATCTGCCTTTGGGCCTGACAGTCTGGACACTCTGGAAGGTCTCCTAGCTTATCAAGGCACACTCTTGGCATCCTTCTCCCTTTTGCCCTGGTACAGGGCATCCTGTGCAGGCCATGTGCTGCAGAGTGGAACCAGGGCCTGCGGTCTCTCTTGTTAACCGCAGAGCCATCTTGCTTCAGGCTTGTTCTTAAAAGTTGGTGGATTTTTTCCCATGCTGGAAAGCTTCTACAGTACTTTATAGAGATAACTGTGGGAACAAGAAGTTCCAGTAAATCATCTGTGCAGTAAATCCCCCTCTTATGTCTGAAAACCGTGGCTTTCTCCCATTGAGAATGCTTTGACCTCTGGCACCAACTGCTGCATTTCCACTCTATACATTTTGCATAACGAAACAGGAAATCGGCAATGATGATGCCAGATCCGTGGCCATTTCGGGGAACAGACCCACCAAAATCTGCCCTCCTTGCCAGAAGAGGCTCTCCTTTGGGCGAGCCCCAGAGTTAAAAGAAAGCAAACATAAAGAAAAACGATTTTTGTCGTTAAAAAAAAAAAAAAAAAAAAAAAAAAAAAAAAAAAAGCCAAAAACGCGGGGGGGGCGAGGGGGTTGAAACAGCACGGCACGGCGTGTGCATGCCCGGCGGGGAGGGGGTGCGGGGTAGGGGGGCAGCGCGCAGCCCCGCTTCGAGGGGCGGCCCGGGGGGCTACGCGGCCCCGGCACCTGGCGGCGCGGTCCCGCTCTAGCGCGGCGGCGCGCCCCGCGCGCTCTCGCCGCCCGTCCACCTCCACATGCACACACCCGCGGCGGGAGGAGCGGCATCTCTCTCGCCGTCCTCATTTCTCCAATTTAATTTCCCCCGGCCTCTCGCTTCTTCCTGACTATTTTTATTTTGTTTTTCATCGTATTCTTCTCAGTACGATTCTCCGCCGGGCTGCTCCAGCCGGCCGCCGCTGGGAGAGGCTGCGCTGCGCGCCGGGGGCTCCCCGCGGCTCCTCGCAAGGTAGGCGGCATCTGATGCAATCCTGGGGACGGGGACGCGGCGCCCCGCGCTGCCTTTGTCTCCACGCATGGCCGGGGAGAGCCTGGCCGGGGCCCTCCGCGCTTTGTCCCCGAACGTGCCCGGCTTCCAGCCCTGCGAACGCGCGGGGTCGGCGGCGGGGAGCCCGGCGGCGTGGTGCTGGGGCGGCCTGGGGGAGCGGGGGGGGGGGGGGGGTAGCTGCCATGCGGCATCCGCCTCCGTAGGGGGGCCGCCGGGATGCTGAGCCGCGGCAAAATGAAAAGCAAAATATTAAAGGGGGATTGGGGCAATGAAGAGACGGCAATGCGAAAAAAAGAAAAAGAAAAAAAAAAAAAAAAAAGATCATTTTCTGGGTTAGGAGCTCCAGAATGTGATAGCTGCGAACGCGGCCGGGGCCCAGTGTGCCGCAGCCCCCCGTGCCGGGCCCGGCCCTGCCCCACAGCCGCGGCCGTGGGGAACTTGTGCGGCATTTGGAAAATGCGGGGTGGGCCCGGGCAGCGCGCGCGTTTGCTTGTGTGTGTGTGTGTGTGTGTGTGTGTGTGTGTGTATTTGTGCGTACGTGTGCATGTATTATATATGTGAGCGTGTAACAGGCGATCTGCTCGTTTTTAACGTGCCAAAGGCGAGGATAAAAGTGGGCCATGTCCGAGTGTGTACATCTGCTCACGTGTGCGTGGATACAGCCCGTTGTTAGGGGGGTGCGCCCCATTGTTTCCCCGAGTTTGCCTTGCAACCTGTAGCTGTCGTTTATTCACCCTTGTGAAAGAGGAGCTGGGCAGCTGTAAAGCTGTGCTTTGTTTATGTGGCGGTAGAAAGGCGAAATAAAAGCCCTGCACGGCAGCGGGCTTTGTGCCCACAGGTCCCCGTGTGCGCGGGGCCCTTGCTGCCAGCGGCGTTTGGTGCTGCTTCGCCCTTGGGTTTGATGCTGCACGAGGGCAACCATTGCTGCACAAACACGAGAAAAAGCCCATTTGAGTTGACTGAATACATTCTGGAGGAAATACGTGTATATACTCTGAGTCTAGAAGTAAAGGGAAGAAAAAGAAATCATTGCTCCACGCAACTTCATTCCTCACCGAAGCATGAACTCCGTTTAAAAAGCCTGCAAAAGGAAGTTCCATCTGTTGCTGAAGGATATACATAGTAGCTGCTGTTCCCACATGGCACTGAAATCAGCTGGTAGCAACCTGTCCAAAATCCGGGCATCGTTCGCTCCCAGCGAGCAAGGCCTGCTGCTGTGGCGTGGTGGAAATTCACTGACTCCAACGGGATCAGCTGCCGCACTGTGTGACTCCTGTGTGACTTTGCCTTGAGGAGGCTCTTGTGGCTGAGAAGGCAGAGCAGAGCACGCTGCCCCAGGCACACTGCAGCAGCAGCATCCCCTGCCTGTCGCTGGGGCTGCCTGGCCCTTGCCTGTCCCCTGGCTGTGGGGCATCACACAGCCTGCTGGAGACGGTGGCAGGCCCATGTCCTTGAGGCCAAATCCAGGGTTTAATGCCTGAAGGGTAAGATGGGAGCTCTCTTACGGTGGGCTCCCTTCCTCAGGTCTCTGTGCTGCCTTTCATCTGGATTTTCTCATGTGGATTTTCATCATTCTTTAAGGAGGCAGAAGGGTGACCAAGCAGAAATGGCACACTTCTCCCTCCTGCGCCCTGTCCATTCCCGCTGCTTTTTTCCTCAGTTGGCTCGTTTCTATAGAAGCAGGCTTAACACCCAGCAGAACAATTACTGCTGCTTTAAAAGTTCATATGATGAAGGCAAATGAGATGTTGTGGGGGTATTTAAATGTTTCAAGCCTGAATGAAGTTTCCTTTCTGGCATGTAATTATTACTGTAACCTTAATCCAACCCAAGAAGACTGAGCAGCTACTCATGGGAAAAACAGCAGCCTGTTCATGTTGGAAGTGCTTTATAGCCCTTTTCCAGTTCACTCATAATATTTGTGTAAGGTTATCAGCTAAATATCAGTCTGAGTCTTCTATAGTAAAGGAAACCGAGACAAAGAAATTACATGTAAACTGGGGGAAAAAGAAGAAATGAGTTACATATGAACCTACACAAAATTGTCTTTCTGTGGTACACAGTGTATTTCAGATTGGAATATGGAAGCTGCTTTTTAGCCCTGTGGACTCCTTCTCATTGCTTGCTGTGGCTCATCCTGCAGCACTCACAGCACAGCCCCTGAGCAGCACAAGAGTTCGTTCATTTTTGGTGGTGTGTCCTGGGACCTCTTCAGCAAAACCCAGCCTGTTAAGAGGATTTCACAGAGAAATATAATTAGGAAAAAATGTGGCTGTATTCCTCTGCCAAATGCCTTCCCTAAATTGACTGGGAAGGGCTCAGAACAGAAATGTACTTAAAACCATTTTCCTTTATGGCTCATCTTTAAGTGTTTTGCCTAAAGTAATGAATCACTGGGTGAATCAGGCGAGTGTTTTATGATTTCTGATTTGCCTGCCTTTAATCAACTGAGCAGCCTGTCGGGACTTAATTTGGGACTGACCCCCCCTCCTTTATGCCGCGTGGATGGGCAGCATGGGGTGCAATAGGGAACACTTTTCTGTTGCAACACAAGGTCACAGTGCTGAGGATGGCTGAACACGTGTGCATATTGCTCCTTTGCCTTCACATCCTTTTCCGATCTTCCTCATCAAGTCCTCTGTCTCACTTGTTGGTTGCTCCCCCCATCTTGTGTTGTAACTGTTCCTTCCTTGTGTGATAGAGGAGCCTGGATGTGAAAGGTGGTGGCTTGTAGCCACTGAGCCAACAGCTGCAGATGCTGGAAGGACTGATGGTCACCGCACTGACAACGCCTGGCAGTGCTGCCGCTGGTGGCACAGGCATCAATTGAGCAAGGATCAAATGGGATGAGGCTGCTTCCTTCCTCCAACTCCCTGGGCTGCAGAGGAGCAGTGCCGGATAGCTGGAGGCAGTGACATTTTCAGCTCCACAGATGTTTGCTCACTGGATGTGAGTCAGTGTTTAATTTATTTCCAGGCTCTTTGTTATCTCGGTAGTGCTCCTCTCATCTCTCAATTCTGTCCTTCCTGTAGGTTAGGAGTAAAACGGGAACTTGGTGTTCCAGATGTCAGGTGTCTCTAGCAGAAAGGAGAGGTTTGCTTCCTGGCTTTTCAATGTGATACTGTCTAAAACCTATTATTGCTTTCTGTCGTTTAAGTGAATAGTCCATATGCAGCATTTCAGGCTTGGCCTTTCATTATTTATGCCCATGGAGTCTTATTGGTCACATTGCTGTTCTTTGAAAGAACTTTCAAAAGTGCAAGCAAAGATGTATTATATCTCAGGCTTTGCAAGAATGAAACAGCATGTGCAAAACTCAGGTGCTGCATTCTGATGCCTCCTAACCGACTAAGAAGGGGGACTTCTTGGCAAAACTCCTGAGCAAAAAGTTGAGTCATATTTCTTTTAAGTAAATTGTCTTGAATTCCGTAGTTAAAATTGCTTAGTGTGTCTTGGATATTTGCCATCCCAAAGACTGCAGGAAATGCAGTGTGAATGGAGCACACGGTGAGTGTGCAAGTTGACGTGAGGAAAACCATACCTCAGGATGGGCATAATGGTGTCCAGCCCCACACCATGCCCTGATCAACTCCTGGGCAGCGTCTCATCCTAAGGTGGCATTTCTTGAATTACGTCCTTCACAGGATATAAAAAAAAATACCTGTGAGTTATGCCATCATCGTTACCACCAGGAGTCATGTTACTTTTAGATATGCTGCTTCTAACGTGTTTCTAGAGGTGTATTTCATATATTATACCTCTTCCAAGTACTGCCTAGAAAGGACTCGTGCTTGAGCCAAAAGAAATAAAGTTAGATTGTGTATATTAACATATTTTGTCAAATACAAACTTTTTGAGCCCATTACTACCAGTCTGGAGCTTTTGACTGTCCGGAAGAGAGGAGTGGCAGGGCTCTTTTTATTTTTCTTTTGATGTTTCAGAAGGCAACAGAGAAAAAGAGCCCGGCTCTTGGAATGTGTTTTAATGGCTTGTGAAGGTCTCCATATCCTTGAGAAAAATAAACTCGTTTTATCTTCTTGTGTCATCTTACAGCCCTCCTTCTGAAGTCTGTGACCAGTTGAGATCTTTCCCATGTTCTACAAGGAACAGGGAATAAATTATCCGTTGTGGGATTTGCAAGACATGTCATGGGATGTCTAAAGAGAAAACCAAGCTCCTAGGCCAGTGCAGGGCTTTTTCTGCTGCACCGGAGGCCTGGATCAGCTACCAAACACAGACTTTTGAGGTTCCTTTAGAAGTGTCTTTACCCCTTTTCTGGTTTTCTCTTGGGGCAATTCATGCTTCAAGAAGTATTTGCCCATGTGAGTGGAAAAGTCGGAAGTAAGGGCAAGATTCTAACTTTTTTCTTTCTGTTTTAGTCTGTGTGTGTCTGGAGAGAGGTTTGATTGCAGGGATCTGGAACTTCTCTGTTTATGAGGTTTAAAGATGGGCAGAGTAGCAAGCACAAAGGGATTGCTGCAGTCACTTTTCAGATTATCTTTAATTTACATTAAAAGGCAATTAATAATCAAGTTCAGTCTAGCAATTTTTGCCAACATAGCATTTTTATCTGCATTTACCTTATCATATTGTTTGAAAGAAAAGGTTTTCAGTAAAAATACAAACATCTTCCAGCTCAGAATCAACATACAATGACTCTTGTGAGGTGAAGCATTTGTTTTTTTTCCTTCCTACAGCATCAGTGGCACCAGCAGCAGATACACATCTGTCTTCCTTTCTCCATACTTTTGCAGAGCCAGCATGCAGCATGAGGAATGTAAAGCTGGGAGCTCTACCTCTAGGGACTGTGGGTGTTCTTGAGAAGCTATGTGCTATTTGTCACTTCCATCACCTGCAATATAAACAGGCAATTTGGAGTGAATTGCATGTGACCACCTGTACCCAGGCCTGTGGAGGGAACCAAGAGTGGTTAGCTCTGATGAAGGGTTTGTGTTGTGTATATCTAAAGGAAAGTTATCTTTACAAAATTTGTGAGCTTTACTTGGAATTTTTTTTCTGGGTATCACACATATCGCTCTTTCTGAATTTTCAAGCACTTCACTGAATGCTTTTGTCACTATTGTCACTCCAGCTTTACAGTTGGAGGTGCTAAGGACAAGGTAGTTATCCTTTGCCAAAGCCTTGGAATGAATTCCTGCTGTGACAGTCGAAGTTTCAGGCCCCAGCCTCGCAGTTCTCTCTTTGCTGCCCTCATGTTTTGGCACTGAGGTCAGGTTTTTTCATACTTGGAAGTTCAGTGTATTATTTCACTCCACAGTGTTGTTAGTTTCAGGGTTCTGTTTTGTTTTAGTAAACCACTTAACCTAACAAGAACCCAGTACAGACTCCAAGATGCTGTCATGCTGTTGCAGGAGCCACTCATCTGTCTGAAATCTGGAATTTGCTGAAGTTGTTACTGGTGGGTCAGCTGGCGTCAGCTGCACCAGCATCTTCATTCAGACTGTTTTTGGTAGAATGTGAGCTTTAGTTCAAACAAACAAACAGAAAAGTCATCGCTTTTGCACTCCAAAGATTCCTTGCAGATAAATCAGCCAGACACTCTCCTGTAGGTCCGGCTCACAGCGTAGCAGCTGCATGGCAGCAGGAAGGGGAAGCAGGAGCTGCACACCAGCAAGCCATGAAGCCCACTCTCGAACAAGCTGTTTACGTCACAGAAGGGTGAATTTCAGCCCCTGTTTTTGCACACACTCAGCATAGAATTTATTAAGCACAAGCACTGTCAGAGTGATTGGGAAAATCCTCCTGGGGGACAAAGATGCAAAAGAGCATCCACAGGGAAAGTTGCGCTGCTTGAATTTTAGACGAGCCTCTGCTTGGCTTTAAAATGCCAGATACAGATCTCAGTACACATTGCCACTTCTGTTAAGGTGCTGTTTATTTTAGGGACTGATGGTCACAAGAAGCCTCAGGATTCAGCATGCTCACTCCTTGCCACCTCACAGCCGCTGCCTCCTGTGGCTTTATCCTTTTATAAAAAGATCACGCTTTCCTTCCAAAATAAGTAGACTACTTTATGCCCCTGGGAAGACTGCTCCAGAATATCACCACCAGAGCCACCCCTCGTTCACTGGTTTGCAGCTGTATGTCTGCAGCCAACTCTCGTTTTGCCTTGCACCAGCCTTATAAAACACAGGGCACTTGCCCTGGGTGCTCATGCTCTGCACTTGCTGTGCAAGGGAGCTGAGGAAAGCCTGGCCAGGGTCCATGCACACAGTCCTCCCCTGGCAGCCATGTGCCCTCCTCATGCCTCCATATCTGGGCATGTGCTGCTCCCATAGGCAGGGTGGGCCCCGCTCCACCAACGGCACAGTGCCTCTGCCATGGCCAGGGCTCATGGGGAAGCTTTTGGAAGACTGAGGATGAATGTACTTTGCTCAGAAACTTAAAGGGAAAAGGGCTTCTTTGCAAAGCCCTCCTCTGCGTGAGGGGAAGTGGTGTAAGCCAGGAGTATTGAGCCCTGCAAACTTACTTGGAGCAGGCTGATGTCACAGTCTGGGGACACTGCTGCTTCCCTGGCTGCGTGAGAGTAGCTTGGTAGCTTTGAGGCCGTTCCACAAATTTGAGGAAATATCCCCAAATAAATGTGGCATGTGGGCATTCACCAAGTACCCCAAGACAAATTGCAAATTATTGCTTGGCAATGCAGCAGAAGATTCATTCACAAAACGGGAATGTAATGACTGTGGTGTGGGTGCTTGTTTCTGAATAACATTCTGGCGCCTCTGCATCATGCAGGCACTGTTGGTCTGTCAGGCTCTGGAAAAAGTTGGCCTTCAGCTGATTTACATTTCTAACAAGGAAATGTGCCACCATAGTAGCCCTATCCAAATTGCCTTTGGTGCTTTTCTTGGCACCTTTATGTAACACATCTAACAGCAGAGAGGCCTCCTGGTCAATAAGTAATAACTGCTTGATACAAGATGTATGTTATTCATTCTTCATATGAGATGTGTTCTTAGGGATTTATTGTTGTCTGGTTTTGTCCTTGTTTACAGTAAGTGTAGCCGTACACAGAGCAGCCTCTGTACCTCTTCTTTACCAAAGAGAAACCTAACATACTCAAATACCTTGAGTACAGACATCAGTAGAACAGAGTGCTGTGATAACACTGCCCCACTGTTCCTCCATTTAGCATCAGCATGAACTTGAGGTATTTTATATTTTTAAGTAAGGAGCAATATGGAGAATGTACTGAAGATGAACACTGAATAACTAGTGGTTCGTGGGCAAGCGAATAAGTTTTATTCCTTAATTTGTAAGTCATTGAGTCTCTTCTTCTGAATCAAAGATGATAGGTTTGCTCCCTAGTTTATAACTGCAGGCACCATCTTCTGCAGTCAGTTGTGGGACTGGGTAAATCTGTAAGGCTTGTGGAGTTGATCTTGTTAAGGAGAATGAAACATCACTACTGGACTGCATGACTTCTGTTAAAACCTGAACTGCTTCTAATGATACCAGATAGGTTGGTGAGGATGATCCCTCATGTCCAGGTTTCACTGTATTCTTCTGGTGATATTACCTACTGTTGGTGTGTATATCTTGGGCTTTTTTCTTGTCTTACCTAGGTTGCTGATACTGTGGCTGCTGTTTACCCACCAGATCCCAACCAAACACTAACATTTCAAGAAACATTTGGATACGTACGGTTCCTCACCCAAGATGCCATTCAAAGCTGGATTAGAACTGACTGAATTACAGAATATGACTATCCCTGAAGATGATAACATCAGCAACGATTCAAATGATTTCACAGAGGTGGAAAATGGCCAGATAAATAGGTGAGTATTTTTCCATTGACACTGCCTGTGCTAAGAAACACGCTGTTTAAAAACAGCATTCTAATTTTCAGTGTAAGTTTTGAATTATTCATTACCAAGTCATGCTCCATTTGAAGACGTAATTTGAATTTCATATGTGACATCTGTTGGGCATAGGCTGCAACAGCAGATAAAGCAAAGAGAGTGACAATTTATTCATCGTTTCAAATCTTTCAAATTAGTCTAATAAAATGCACAAACATATAATGTAGCAAAAAGCCCAACATTCTGAAACGTCTACTTGCACAAAGCAGAGAAGCAATAATAATAAATACAATTAGACCAATGGAATAATTTGAAACAAATTGCTTTGTTGACCCTACGATGACAGCTGAAACCTGCCTGGCCACATCCACGTCCCCAGGCTGGTGGGGATTTGCAGCTGGCACTGCTCGAAGTTGGGCAGGATGAGGAGAAGCAGCACCACTCCACCCCAGGGCACAGAGGGTGAGGAACTGCTCAGAGACCTGCACCTAACTTGTATCCAGATAAGGAATGCAGCTATTTGTCAATTCTAGTGAAAACTGGACAATCACTTTTCCTATGGTATAGTAGTTTACCAAAGAGACTTGTTCTGCATGATGGTGCATCTTCCAGGCCTCTATGCCAGGCACCAGCATCCCACAGGTGCTGAACTCTGCTGCGTGCACCATGGGTCTGTTGCTGTGCTCCAGCTGGGTTTTGCAAGCTGCAAAGCAAGAGGCAGCTTTTTGACCAAACTTCCTGTCAAAGCACTGCACGGCAAGGGCAGGGGCAGGGGCTGGGCCTACAGCCAGCCCAACTGGGAAAGCTATGGGGTGGCCACCAGCTGCTCCTGCTGCTGTGTGACCACAGTGTGGCTGCGCCAGCGGAGGTTAGGGTTGATCAGGAATTTTCTGAGGCAACCACTTTGAAGGAAGGTGCCAGGGCGAAATGCAAACTACTTCTGTTTTGTTTTTTAAAAAAAAAAACAACAAAAAGCAAAAAAACAAAACTCAGACTTTGTCAAAACAAAACAGTTCCTGTATGAACCTGCTGGCTTTGCTGCTAGCTTCCTTGGAGCTCATGAGCTGACAGTGGTAGAAGCATTCCCTGGGGCCTACTGAGGATTTATGTCCTTGACAGGAGGAGGAGTGGTAGCTGTGCCTCCTGAGCTCTTGTCTGGTAACTGTCAGGGGAGAAGCCCTGTTAGCCCATCATCTTTCATTGAGCACTTGTAGAGGCTGAGCAGGGAGTGTGCTGCATGCGTGTGACACGCAGTGCTCACCATGTGTTTTATGGAGCTGCGCTGTGAGCGTGGCAGCGTCTGAGCAGGGCTGAGTTGGAGTAAAAAGTGGGTGAGGAAAGTGTCAGAACTGAGACAAAATTTCTAAATCCTGCTCTGGCTCTTCAAGCACATGAGTATATTCTATCGTTTTCACTTCCTGATAGAAATCCCATAGCTGTGTCAGAAAACACCCAGGCTCTGTGTAATATGAGGTTAAGGGGTGTATGGACATTCATATTTTGTGCCATCTGACACATGGTGTAAGGCCTTGTGAAACGCCAAAGTCCACCAGTATCAGTGGGGCTTTTTTTGTTGATTTCACTTGAGCTTTAGATTAGATGTGTAATTTTCAACTGACTTTTTGCAGTTGTTTCCGCTTGTTTGATTCCACACTCTGTACTTCATTTTGAATTTTTTTTTTCTCAGTGCATAATTTTCCAAGCAGAATGTAGAACAGCATTTTTAAGAGTCTTCTGGGGACAATGCAGCAGTAAGAAGCTGATTTAAACCCCAAATATTTCCCAATCTCAGAAAAGAATTCTCTAGTTCCCTTTAGATTTCCAGCATTTTCTGGGCCTAAATATGTATTTGTATATACAGGAATGTTATATTATTTGGGAGGAGCTCTATTGGGAGGGTTTTTCTGTGCGTGCAAATGTGAAATACTTTCTGGATATGGGTTTGCTGTCTTTTAACGATTTATCCTGGGTACACGTCTTTGCCATTGCTGAATATGACATAAATCAGTGTGTAGATGACCTATTGCTTCCTGTGATAGCAGGACAGATCTGCTAAGCTGTTCAGCAGACTTGGATCTGTACCTGTGATGATGCTGTCAGGAAGCTGCTGGCTGGATGCTTGTCCTAGTCTGCAGCTATGGGTAAGTTATGAGCGCTCCTTGTTTGGCTGACAAGGTTGCTGGTAGCTATACCCAGATCTGGTCAAAGTTTCATAGTGCAAGCCAGAGCAAGCCTTCTTCTGCATTTCTTGTTCCTGCTTGCCCTGGAAATCTTTGCCATCGCTCAAGCTGGAGCTCCGTTTAAGAAACCGCCTGAGGATAGAGTTCTGTCATCTTGGCACAATGAGCCTTCCCTAACAAATGTTTAAGGCATTGTCAAGTATCAGTTTAAGTTAATTATGTTTAAACATATCTAAGATGGCTAAATGGTTTTAACTCTGCTTAGCCAAAATGGTTAGCTCCAGGATATCACCTTTATCAAATATTTCTCATTTATGTCCTTTAATAAATTAAATTTGGAGACTGTGGTTAAGTACGGTCCTTTTAAAACCACTTTATCAATAAGACTGAGTTTCTGCTTTTCAGTAAAACAAGGCAGAAAAATAATTGGATTACAGAATTCTTTCCAAACCAACTGTGAGGCTTCTTTCATCACAAGGATGAGCTGATCATCTTTTGACCAGGTTATTCTATAAATGCATCTGAAAAGTTTTGCATAAACTGTTCATGCTTGACTGTGATGTAGAAAGCACACCAGGAAATCAGAAACATAGAAGAATGAGTTATGATTGTGTATGATGAGTAGAGCATTCAAAATGAAGACAACAAGCAGCCCAAATGGATTTTATGCTTGTCAGGGGCCACAGGGCACTGGAGGCATGGGTTGCCTCACTCTGCATTTCTGTAGGACCTGTCACTGGCTCTTATCTTTCTGTGGGCTGGGAGGATCCGCAGCAAACAGTCGTACTGCTTTGTTCAAGTCAGATTTGTAAATCTCAATGTACATCATTGTGACAATGTGTAGCTCGCTTTCTAAGCGCATCTGTTGAGCAGAGCAGATGCAAGGCATGATTTAATAAGAAATTATAGTATTCCAGTCTATGTTCTCCTTTACATACTGCAGTAAAAAAACATCCTGAGCTTAGATTTAAAAAAAAAAAAACAAAAAAAAAGTGAAACATTTATTAAAAAAAAAGCATATATTGGGAAGATTAGTTTCTGTTGACTCCATTTGTCTGCCTTCTGCCTACTTTCTTTTATTTTCTCCTTTTATTTCGTCTTTTTGAATTTGAGTGCAGCAACGCATTCCATTTATGAGCAGCATGGGGTGTCCCACGATGCATCCATGCCACCTACTGAGCATCGACCCAAGGCAACCTTCCTATCCAGGCCTGCCAGTTACGTTGCTTGCAGCAGGGCATGTAGCCACAGACAGGCAGACGGGCATCTCACAGCCCCAGCTGGCAGGCAGGCCAGGAAGAGCCCTGTGCAAGCTGGGCAATGCTCTGCCTCTCCCAGAAGGTCACGATGGCTGCATTCCTGTGTCTGACTTTGCCTGCCCATTCACACTGTGCAGCAGAGATAGAGAAAAGGTGTGCGCTGCAACATGGTAAATGTGGAGTGGATGAGTAACACACCTTGTCATAGAAGATGAGACGATTTTAACATGGCTAACTCCAGAGAAAGTACTTTGGATTAGTTTATCGAACCAGATGTTTTCTCCGCTGCCCATCTGGAAGGAAATAATGCATTTGTTCTACTGAAAATACCAATTATATAAAAACTCATTTCTGTTGGAAGTATTGAAATGAAAAACTCCAAAATTGCTTTACATTTGAGCAATATCTTTTGGATGTGGTCTTTGTCATGTACTAGCTCTTTAACAACAATTTTCATTGATCTTTAATGCCCGGTGGCAGTAATGGTAGTATCTACAGATTTGTTATTTTTGTAATTATTGAACAGAATGAATGCGTGGGGCTGAGCAGGAGCAGGGGGAGCGAACTAGCTGACTTCTCCTTACTCTGACAAAATCTGAAATGACACATGATCTCCATGGTTGACAGAAGAAGGCAAAGCCCACAGATGTTCCCAGCAGTGCTCAGAAACACAAAAGAGACAAAACTTTTCTCTGCGCTCCTGCCTGTACAAATTGCCTGCAGGGTGTTTCGAGAGGGAGCTGGAATGTCTTTGTCAGGCCACTCACACTCAGCTGCCTGTGCTCAGCTTTAAACAGACATGGAAGAAAAAAAAAACCCATATACTATGAATCTACAGAAGGTCAGGTTGAGATTTTATTCCATCAGAGTGAAATGCCTTCCCGGTGAGATTCAGAAAGTTAATTTTGGATCAGTTCACCTTAGCCGTGATTGCTTCTCACTCCTTAAAACACTGGGGGAGGATCAGCCACATATTCCAACTGCTTTAGGGCTTTAGAGACTGGCTCGGTATCTGTATTTTGCAGCAAATTAGTTTTTGAAGTTAACCGTTCAAAAAATAAAGGAGAAGCCTATGGTTGGTTTATATACAGAGCAAATCGAAGCAGAATGATGGTAGGAATCAAAGTTGCCACAAAAACAGCAATAATTGCACAGTCAAAATCAGAACTGTGAATCTTTGGCCAGGAGATGTTCCCAGCTGTGGGAAAGGGCCATTAGGGCTGGTCTTTGTGTTCAGCTCACTGCCTGCTTTAAGAAGAGTCACTGTAACCTGCCTACAGAAAAAAGGAAGCTTGGTAGCAACCACTGGATAGGTATGTGTTACAAACGATGGCTGCTATAGGCAGTGCCCGAGAACCTCTGTAAATTAGCAGAGATGCCAGGGACTTAATTGTGCATAAACTTTTGGAAGATGGAATAGCTGAAAGAATGCTTTACACAAAGTAAAATTGTTTGCTGAAGAGTGGGTCTGGGAGAAACTAGCAGCTTGCCCTAGTCAGAAGTGTTGTAAATCCGTTGTCTGTATTAGGGATAGAGAGCAAGTAAAGCTGTAGAGGAAAAAAAGCCATTCAGCTCATGTTCCTCTACTCAGAGATGTTTGATTTTACAGTGTGATGAATTTGATACTGAGTTTTGAAGGGCTTCTTGTTGACCATACAGCAGCCCCAACCTGAGGCACACCCACAGAGCACATGGCCTGGTTCAGAATGGCCCCAGCAATGCTGCTGCCTGCAGCACCTCATCCTCCTCTTAGCTCCAACTGCACCAACCCCACGGTAGCAACAGAGGGCTTGTACTCAGCAGCTTGTTGGTGCCCTTACCTTACTGGATCTCCTAAAATACCTCTCCCTACACATTTATTCTGATCTAGTGGTACCTTTACTGACACTCAGTCTGTGCTGGCATCAGGGAAGCAGAATGGGGCTCCTTTAACAGTTACAGGCTTGACCTTTTCTTGTGTACAGCTTATATACATTGTGTATTTTGCTATCACATGCTGCTCATGGAATTAACATGCTTGCATTTTCTAATGGCTCTTTGCTGGGAATTAATCCTCTGACTTCTTTCAGCAAGTTTATTTCGGACCGAGAAAGCAGGAGAAGTCTCACAAACAGCCACTTGGAAAAGAAGAAATGCGATGAATATGTAAGTATTTTTGCAGGCTTTCCCTTTGTCAGTATGAACTGTCTGTCATGTATGGAGAGCCCTTAGACACAGTCTTCAAAAGAACTGAGTACAGGCATTTGTTACTGAAATCCAAACAACCAAAAAAACATTTTGGTTCAGGCAAGGGGAGTCCTCTGGACCCTTGCTGGGCAGGAGGCATGACTGTTCCCCAGGCCTTATAAAGCATCAGTCGCACACCAAAGATGCCTCACAGGCGTGGCAAGAGATGGATTTTAAAGTTCAGACTGTAAGTATGAGTTGTATATTGCCCATTGTATTGATGTGAGTTTACAAAATCTGTAGGGCAGCAATCAGAATATAAGCGTGAAAAAAGAGAAGCGGCCTTTTTTCTCTTTCCAACCTGACAGTGCTCCCACAGCAATAGCTCTTTCTATCTGATTACCACATAGCCTGCAGGTTGGGGTGTAGGGGCATTCCTGTGCTCTGTTCCAAACTCCTGCTGACACGCAAACCTTTGTTTCTCCAGATTCCAGGTACAACTTCTTTGGGAATGTCTGTCTTCAACCTCAGCAACGCCATCATGGGCAGTGGCATTTTAGGCCTCGCTTTTGCATTGGCCAACACAGGAATCTTCCTATTTTCGTAAGTGTGAATGGGTTGAGGAGCTGATCTCTGCTCTGTGAGCGAGTGGAGTGATTGATGGTCCACTGGAAATGTGATGTTCTTCTTCATCGTGTGAAGTAGCCGACCTTGTATAAGTGGTTTGGATTTCAGGGTACTGATGGATGGGTCAGCTGTTTCACTGTCTAAAAATGAACTCAAATACTAAACTACAGCTTTCAAGCTGAAAAGGTCAGCTACGTTTTTCAGACATTTATTTTTCAGTCAAAGTAATCGTGAAAAAAAAAACACTAGTTGTGCTTCTAGAGCAGATTAAGTTCATGTCATCAACTGCTGACCTGTGCCTAGCCAGAGACTTTTCCTATGGTCTACAAATTGCACATACATTGAAAATAGCAAATTTATTCAGTAGTAATACTTGCAGTGTGACAGTACTTAATTCTTACTTGTGTCACAGAATCTCTGTAGCTTTCAGCAAAGCATGATGCAATATCTAATCTTGTAAGCAAGAAAAAGGAATATTTATACTCTTTTAAATGTCAGATATAATATTTTCATCTCACTCCCACAGTTTCTTCAGTTTCTTATGTGAGAGTCCTTAAAAGCAACATAAATATAGCCAAGATTTGAGTATAAAAAAAAAAATGGCTGAGGTACAGTACTTTACCAAAAAAAAAGCAGCATTTCATAAAACAGAATTTTATAGTTTAAAAATGAAACTGTGCCAATGAATGAATAAGACACAGAATACTGTGTTATTTTGGTTTGCAGCATGAGGCATTTCATTGTGAAAAGTGATTGTTAAGAAATCAGTTGGGAATTGTGTGCAGATTCCAGTAATAAATGTTCATTGAGGGAAGAAACACAATAATTTACAGTATTTGAGAACTGCTCAACACGGTTATTAAGTTTACAGATCACTGTACAGAGGTGTTATTTCTTAAACATCAGAGCCTAAAAAATTTAGAACTTAACATTTCGTAGGGTTTTTTTTTGAAAAATTATAACGTGAGCTCTGCATATAGCAGAATGAATGGCCAAAGTGGTATGCACAGCCATCTGCTCCAGGATTTTGTGCCAGTATAGCTGCAGCCATGCTGCTAGAGTACAGTTTGCAGTGGTTGGGTAAAATCTGGGAATAATCCGAGGAATTAATCCACTTACATTAAGAATGTACAAAGCCTCATTATTGTGTTGCAACTAAGCTAGGCAATAAAGTAGCAGGACTCAGATTTAGATTTTTCTTATGCAGAGGGACTGAGTTTACTTCAGTTTTGCTGATTTGAACCAACATGTGATACTAAACTCTCTATGATACTCCACCATGCTCTGATATGTTCACCTCTGAGGGCACAGACAGAGGTCTGCAGAAACTCTTGCAACCAAAAAAAGTTCAGTCTAGTTGTCTCTTCTGAGATAATGGTGTCTCAGCTAAAGAGTAGTACTTTCTATATCTACTTCTTAAGAGGGCATCATAGGCATCTTCAATTTCGCCCTCAATTGCTTTATATTTCTGTAAGTAATCTCATTCTCTTCTATCTCTTTCAGTGAACAGTTTTTTTTTTTTTGTGAGAGTTTAAGTGAAATGCATTTGGTCTCAAGGGTGTAGAAAGGAAGTTTCTTTCAAGATCAGGCCAGTGGTGTGAACACTGGGGAAACTTCTAACAACCTGTGGTGGAGACTGAGTTCATCTTGGTTTGAGTAATGAGTGTGTAGATGTGTGCCACCTAACTGCACAAAATCTGCCAAAACCAAAAATGTTTGTTAGTTTTATACAGCAAATAACAGTGCTACTCTCTAGAGAATCAGATTGTGTTTAAAAGTAGATAATTGTTTTAGATAGTTTTATGATGCTTTTAGACCTGTTGGCTTGGAGATGGATCAGCCTGCTGAGATGAAAGGTAAGGAAGCTAGCAGGACCTAGCTGACCAGTCTGGCTGAGATTTTGCTTTTGATGCCTGGAGACAGATCATCCTAATGTGCTTTCTGTAGTTATGCCTGAAAATTTAGTCTCATAGTTAAAGTTAGACCAGTGCTTTTACAGTTTTGGTCACACTCTTATTCAGTGTTTTTTGTTTTTTTTTTTTTTTTGACAAAGTCCTGCTCTTTATTCCAAGTATATCTTTGAACTGTCTCTTCTTTACAAGTGATAAAGAATAAAGTCTTGGAAAAAATTCATATGCTTTTTGCATGTGTGAAAGCACTTACATTCATTACTCATGAATAGCAGAATTGTAGAAGATTTCTAGGTTGCCTTGTCCAGGTTGTCTGACTGCCAGTACTTGCTTGCGACATCTCTGAAAAGTAGAAAGCAGAGGAGTGAAAATTAAAGCATCGTTTTCAGGGCTAGTAAGGCAGACCAAAACTGGTTTCCACTCTCCACAACTTTTGTGGTTCTGCAGTGTGAAGTAGATCAGTTCAGATCCTGAATTCTTGTGGAAAAGAAATACGGAGATGGATGTGTGCTCTCCCATGGTACTCACAAAACTGATTGATGCAGTGAAGTGTCAGGCTTTCTGGGCAAACAGTTGAGAAACTCAGAGGAACTTCATCCTGATATTGTTAATAATTATAACCTAGATCAGAAAAGAATATCCTTTCTTCTATGAAAAAGGGAAGAAAAGCCTTGTACTGCAGAAATATGGCACAAAAGGTTGAGGAGCTTCAGTTGGGCCAGGTCAGCTGGGAAAAGCAGGGGCACCTGTAGGTAGTTCACTCTGCTTGTGGTTTCGCCCAAGTCCCAGTAGCAGGGTGGCAGATGATGTTGCAGAGACAGACAGGCTGGCAAGCACAAGGTGCCTTCAGCCTGCGTTTAGCCTGGCTCTGCAAAGGAGCTGAAAAGCTCTTCTGAGACACAGGGCTTGTTGGATGTGGTGCAGTGTGAGGTGACAACTGGAGCTTCACACCGCTCCCTGCAGGCACCTGTGCTAAGGTTGGCTGGAGGCAGTCACTGGGCTGCAGCCACACAGTGCCACGACCCTGCTCTTCACGCTCTTCCCCATCTGATGCCTCACAGGGGTTCAGCGAGTGAAGAGAGGACTGCACAATCCTTGCTCTTCTGAGTATGCAGCCTGGGCTCCAAGGGGGGCTGGGGACAGTACCCTTTTCAGCTGCTTTGGTAGTGCAGTTGTTGGCAAACAGCAGTGGTGTCATAGGAACAGTCTGTTCTTCATAGCCCTGTATCAGTCTCCTGCCCTAAGCTGTTTATTCTGGATTTGTTGAAGGGAGGTGACTTTTTCGTGTGCTGTTTGCTTGCATAGCTGCCAGCACTACTTTAAAATTAGGCAAAATAATAAGCATTGAGATGGCAGTATGAGCTTCCCCACTTCTGTTTCAAATTTGCACAGGATGAGTGGTATGGACATTCTCATTCCCTTCCAAGGGGTGGTTCTGGCATGAGTGTCCTGACACAAACAAGTTCTTCATGCAGTGTTAATGAAAATGCCAAGCTTCTCTGTATTAATCCTATGGGGAGCTAAGGACAGCAGATCAGATAAATACCTGGCTGCTCGAGAGTGTTATTTTTACCACTGCAAAAGCTCCATGAGCTCAGTGCCTGAAAAACGGGAGCTTTTAATATTAAAATAGCCTTGATGCTGGCCTGTGCAACCAGAGCCACTTGGGACTGAGAGTGAGTCATGGCAGCTGTGAGCACCATGCCTCCACACAGACAGGGGAAGCAGGGCAGCAGGAGAGCTTAGCACGTCTTCAAAAATGGAGCAGCCAATGCAGTCTCCTTTCCTTTCACCTCCCCAAGGAGAAACACCCTTTGGCCTGTATGAAAAGTGTCGTGTTATTGTGAACCATCATTCTTTCTTGGCAAAGAAGCAGTTCTTCCTGCCATCTCTGTGTTTCTCCCTCCTCCTCTGGCTCCAAGAAACCCGTAGGTCATTATTTGACACAAAAATATTTATAGTCCAAAATAAGAGAAAAGGAGAGGGAGGAGGCTTCTCATTCTGTTCTATGTGTTCCAATAAAAGAGATGTCTTTCTGTTTATCTATGGCAATAGATACGCAGTTTTCTTTTGAATTTTAGGCTTGTTTTCCTTGGTGTCCCAAGGGTAGCTGTCATAATAAAAAGAGGAGTTGCCAACAGATTGTCTGAATGCTCTTCACACACGTCATGAAAACATGGTCAGGCCTTTATGTGTTCAGTGTTGGAGGGGAAGACACACATCGTGCTTGGCTAAAAGACCTAAAGCAACGAACTAAACTATTTTTATGTACTTACCCCCTGGCGCTGAGTAATTATCATTTATGCCAGCAGGTTCCCTCCACAAACAGTTTGGTCGTTACTTCCTGCAATTCTACATGCAAAGTCAAAATATGGGTCACGGAAAAACAGGGAGTGACATCAATGAGGGAGCACCTGTCCCTGCCTGGGTGAAGCACGAGCCTTTGGTTTCTGCCTTTACTCCCAGGAAAAGACAGTCTGGGCCATGAAGGTGAAGGGTCAGGTGCCTGCTCACCTGCCTTAGTGCCCGACACCTAAAGCTCAGAGTCCTCAAGTCTCATGATTACTTACTGTGAGCATAGGGTCTTAATGGAAGCTAGAGACCACCTTCTTCACTTAGTGAGTTGAGTTCATGTCCAGGTCCCATTCACACATCAAGAGCTGGCCAGGGCAAGACAGCTCTGCGCAGTGTTAGCCTTCCTCCTATCCCCATTCTGGGGGCACTGAGGCTACTTTTGGTGGCACGTCTTGGGGAGAGATGCTTATATTTGGCATGAAAATCCTTAAATAGAGGACTTCCATCTGAAATTTTCACTTTGCTTCCAGGGGTTGAAAAAAAAAGCTTTAGACTGTGTGGTGAGGAACGTATACGACTCATTCCTGCTCTGATTAAATCCTAATTCCTATATGGTGAAACATCTCCATTCCTTTGGCTTGGAAGGGTATAATTAAATAGCAGGACGTAGTTCTACTGAGTTTTCCTTGGTTGAATTCCTCTGCATACAAGGTTTCGTACCTCCTCTGTAGTGTGTTAGAACTGCAAAAAGCATGTAAATCACTTTTGTTTATAGAGGTTTTTGCATTCTCAGAGGATTATAAAAAATATCTTGGCATCAGTGGGTAATGACCCAACACATAAAATATTGTAACGTTAGAACTTTGTTCTTACAGTAAGCTTTATCTTTCGTTCTTTTGTAGGCTGCTTTTGGTTTCTGTGACATTGCTGTCTATTTATTCAATACATCTCCTGTTGGTGTGTTCAAAGGAAACAGGTAATCTAAGATTTTATTGTACCATTTCAATGGAATTGTAAAGAAGAGGTGAAAAGTGCTCAGAATAAAGCCAAGTGCTTTGTGAAACACAGGGTTTCCATCACTTTGCTGACACAAAAGAAGGTCCTACCAGATTTTGGGTCAGAAGCTCGGAATTTGAAATAATTTATGTCATGGCAAAGGAGAACAGCATATGACCATCACTGTAAAGAGAAAGTATATATATGTACATATATATATATACCAAAGACTGGATACTGTTGTAGTGAAGTGTTGTTTTCAACAAGGTAAAAAGAACAGCTCAGATAGTTCATTTGCATTACAAAATCAATTTGAAATGAAATATAACGAATCTTTGTCTACAGCGAAGCTTACCTGGAAATGCAGGTTTGTTAATGGCTAGTGTGAAATTCCTGATGGCCTGCATGTTGGAGAAAATGCAAGGGAACATTTCCTCCTCAGAAGGAAGTGTATCTCTAAGCAAAATGTATTTTTAAACACAGAAGTTAGAAGTTATCTACAGGGTTAAATAACTTTGTGTTCTGAATCCAAGAGATTCTTTCCTTGACTAACAATCACTGAAGCCAGATTTTTAAAATTATTTGTACATACGATCGCCAGTGTATTTAAGTGTGTAATTTGGATGCAGATGAGTTACTATTATGGTGTGTACAATGGCAGCAAATGCCTATTTAATTAGGTGTGCAGGCCTAATTGTGAACACTTTTGGCCTTTTAGCTCCCAGAATCTAAGCCCTGTTTTCTGTGCTGCCAGATCACAGACACAACACTACATTTAAGGTCAATCTTGTTGTTTATACAGGCTTCAAAGAAGAAATGTCAGCTATAAGGAAACGTAGAGAAAAACAAACAATGAGATCCATTTTTAAAACAATCTGTGCAGTGCAACATCTGCAGTATTTCTCTTTCTGTTCTTGTGAGTCTCAACAGCTTCACCATGTCCAGTTTGTTTTTTTTTTCTCAGCCTGAATCACAGCCAAGAGACGAAAAAAAAACCATTTAACAGAAGCACAATCCAATTAATAGTGGAGTTTCACAAGCTTGACAGAAATTTAAGCTTTTGTTATAATTTACACTGTTTTCTGCTTTTACCAAAAACATACCACATTCTAGAATTCACAAGAACACCATCATTAAAGACTGTAAGTCATCCTGTACAACAGAGGCTGCCTTCATTTGGGTCATTTAGTCAAACCAGGCAAAATTACAGAATTACAGTCTGGTGTCTGTTGTGGCCAGGCTGCCAGTGCCAGTTTGTGGTCCCTGTTGTACTGAATTTGGTCTGGAGAGAAGGCGTTCAACCTCTGTCTCATTGAGATTGCAAAACTAATATGCCAGGATGGGGATACCAGGACTTAAAGTGCCCCTAAAGGTATAGATGGACTTATTAAAGGAATCTCATAAGTGATTGGTAGCCAAAGACAGCATGTACAGATATCAAGAAAACATTCCTCCCTAAGTTTCAGCCCTAGCAATTACAAAAGAGCTCTCTATTTGGTTGCAACAGGAAGATATGATTGCAGAGAGCGAATCACAAGTGTTTTGACTCAGTAGCATACGCCATTGTATTCTTTACCTTTCTCCTCATTTCTTTTAACACAGGCTGCATGGTATATGAAAAGCTTGGTGAGCAGGTTTTTGGTACCCCTGGGAAAATGATTGTCTTTGGATCTACATCTCTTCAAAATGTTGGAGGTAAAGGAGGAATATTAAAAAATACAAGCCACAAGCACCTTAATAAAGTTATGCCTACCAACTAGGCAGGTTCCCTGTTCTCCTGGTAATGTCTTGGGATTTTCATGCTTGATCTCAATTACGTTTTGCACATTGCCTTTTAAAAATACTTTATTACTGAATAATCAGTAGTTTATAGTCAGTTACAGTTCTAGGTCTTCTAGCTTTACAGGCTGAGATTGGAAAAAGTGGAAAAAGAAATGTTCTTATTCTGCAGAATATCTCATCTGTTTCCTAAAGTGCTTTTCTTCTTCCTTCAGCAATGCTGAGCTATCTCTTCATAGTAAAAAATGAGCTGCCTTCTGCCATAAAGTTTCTAATGGGAGAAGAAGAAACTTTTTCGTAAGTTAAATTCATTTGGGTGGTTTTAGAATTTAATGTTGTGTAAGGAAACTTAAGTAAACATTTATAAAAACTCTTAAGTATTCTTTAGGGTTGACAACAGTAGATCTTCACAGAAATATTTCTGTGAGTTAAAAACAAACAAGAAAACTTTGGGAAGGAAAAGAGAATGGAAAGAAAATGAAAGATGAAGTCATCAACAGTTACTCTTTGCACAGCAGATTTTAGTGCAGGATTATGACTTACATCTTTCAGAGTGTTAGTAACATTTGTAGATTCTGGGAACAGTGCAAGTTTAACATATTTCCCTGTGTTCTTAGCATCTTACAGGACTTTTTTTGCCCCTGAAGCATTGTCAATAGTTTCAAATTCTTCTATACTAATATATGACATTAGCAGAAAATTATTCTTAGATTTCTGCCAATTGTCACTTGACACTTACCAGCTTATTTTATAGAAGGATGGTATTCTTCTATAGTGGTAAATATCCTTTACACTGGATTTTATAATGTATTGTAGAGAACCAGAAGAAAATAGAGATCCCATTCCTCAGGCTTCCATACTAAATTGGCCAGAGCAGTGGAAATGCAACACACAGAACATCATTAATGCTGCATCTGAGTCATAGCAGTGTCATGTTTTAAGAGCTGGATGCTCAGAGATTCTGGTACTCTTCTGCAAAGTTCAGACATGGTCCCCATCTCCCCTGCCATAGTGTAAGGATAAAAAAGGTACTTCTGTAACTGCAGCGATCAAAGAGGTCAGCAGAGTTTGAGGAATGCCAGAAAGGTTTTGGGGTGTGTTCATGGTACTTTTTAAATGTTTTATACAGGGCATGGTACGTGGATGGGCGGATTCTTGTTGTTGCAGTGACGTTTGGTATCATCCTCCCTTTATGTCTCCTTAAGAACTTAGGTAAGATGCAAATGCTGTTGCAGGAATAAAATACAGGAGCCCAGACATTGCGCCTCTGACAGCCACACTGGCAAGTCAAATAAAAGTTAAAAATTGTGCTGTTCTTGTTATGAGAGTCTGCTCCTGGTTTGGGAGTATGCTTTGTTTTGAGCATCTTGGAACAAGAAGGCCTAAATCATTGGAGTGATCAAAATCAGTATAAATCAATGTCATCCATGCAATTGTGGAAATTGATATAAATATATAGTTAGGACAGTGTTTATTCGATAAGGTGACTCTATGTAATGTGTAACGTAAAAACATGTTCATAAAGGAAGATTGCAAAAAAAATACTCTTCTTTCTGTTAGTGTTGAATTTTTCAGTGATTAGCTTAGTTGAAAATGCTGAACTTGTATGTAAGTTGTGTATAGAGAACCACATTTTCAAATGTGTTTGAGTCCACAGGGGTGCCAGTGGGAACATAATGTATTTTTTAAAACCATGTAACAGATTTTGGCACTGAACTCCTGTTGGGAATTTCCTTTTGGGAAATTAACCTGTAGTAAGCTCACATTTCTGCATCACAGGGAACCTGGGTTACATTCTGATTGCAATCTCACATCTTCCAGTTTATTTCAATTATTACAAATGTAAAATTAGTTAAAGTGCCATCCAATGACCTTCAGGAAGGAAAACACAAGTCACGCTGATTGGATTAAAACTCTGCTCTGTCTGAAATCTCAGGGTCCTACAACACAGAAGGCACCAAATGAAGATCATTTTGTCCTGCCCAGAAGCCTGTAGTATATTTTAAATATATAATACATTCAAGTTGTTCCTTTGAGTAGATAATTAAGAGGCAATATATGTTTAATAAAAATTATTTTGTATAACTTTTTTTTTTTTTAATTTCAGGGTATCTTGGCTATACCAGTGGATTTTCATTAAGCTGTATGGTATTTTTCCTGATAGTGGTAAGTTCAGCTTGTTTTGTTTGTTGGATTAGTCACTTGATAGGATATGCAGAATTTCTGAATTTAATTTTAATTTGCTTTTCAGTATTGCTTTTAACAGTTAGCTCTTGTTCTAGGTTATTTACAAGAAGTTTCAAATTCCCTGTCTCGAACCGGAGCTAAATACAACATCACCTATCCTATCAAATAGCTCAGCACATGAGCATATGTGTAAGCCAAAGTATGTTATCTTTAATTCCAAGGTATGTTTCTCTTTATGATACTTATTTTTGATTCACATAATATATGCACCTACACCCCATGTCGTAATCAGCTCAGCACCACTTAGGGCCTGTCCTCTGTGCTTCCACGCATAACTGATGGTGAATGCATGACAGGTGTCCTTGCCCAGTGTTTTGGAGGTGCCGTGATGCCTGTAGCTCCTTGCAGCCTTGCTCTGCTACTCCATTCCTCAGGAAACTGAGACAGAGTGAGCTGCCTTGGTAGCAGGCATGCTGAGGCTGTGAGCTTGAGCTGCTACCAGATAACAAATGCTTTCTTTATGAGAGTTTTCCTTTCTACCGCTTCTTACTTTCCATTCTGCAACTGAGTGCTTAGGCTGTGGTTCAGCAGAAACTGTAAACCATGCCTGCATCCAAAAGCCAGAAGTAATCCATCTGTCCTGCACACAAACCACTTCTTTGTGACAGGGTATGTGTTTCTGTAGCCATATGGTGAACAAGATGAGGAAAAAGGATACAGTTGAAAGCAAAAATTTGATGGCCTTTCAGCTGGATGCTTTCCTTGATCACTGCGCAGCTGCACAAAATGCTGTGCCAAGAGAGTGCAAAAGAGCAACTGGCTGTAGCTGTGGGAGCAAGAGGATTTCTTCTTCCAGCTGTGCTGGTTTGCAGTGCTCTTGAATGGCACCTTATCCAGTAGAGCACGCTCCTCAGGGTATCACCACTGCATTCATAGAGAACACATATGCATAGTATATGCATGCAAAAAATTATTTTTCTTTTTAATTCATCTTACCAGCTTCAGTGCAAGAAGCAACCTGAATTAACACGAGCACTTTCATTCAGCTGGGGGCAGCCATCAGCCCAGATCCAATGTGACTGGCCAAGAAGCAGTTAGCTGGGTGTGCAGTAGCAGTATAGGTGTAGGTACAGTTCAGGCAGTGTCAAAGGGCAGTCTTGTTCTCCTGACGTGTTAGTGTTTACTTCAGAGCTGATGAATGCCCATCAGAAGGAGCAATCAATCTGAATTAGGAGCACTGTATTTAAGCTTTAGAGATTTGCTCTCAGGGCCAACAATTTGCCAATCACTTTAACAACTTTGGTACATGAGAGGAGATCCATTTTGAGACTGGCAGGAACCTCTGGTCCATCTGCTTCAGCAGGGACACCCAGAGCAGGACCATGTCCAAATGGCTTTTGTGTATCTCTAGGGATGGAGTTTCCACAACAATAGTGCACTGGGAATGAAGCAGAGAAGGCAGCACAGGTCAGGGTGTGGAAAGGCCCCACTGGAGAGCAACCAGTGTGCTTTCTGAATCCCACCCCACTGGGCAACCCTAGGATGGCTTCTGTGGTGATAAGTGTCCTGTGGCCAACATGAGGAAACCCCTGAGCAGTGGGGAGAGCTGCTTGTAGGAATCAACTCCTTTTACCAGGAGGACCTTTTTCATGTGATCTCAGCTCATACCAGTTTCCTAGGGGAGAATGGAAGTGCTTGAGCTCTGAGATCATTTATAAAGCTTGGCCAGATGCTGACCACTGAAACCTGCTCAGATTTTTGGTTGAGCAGTGGGTGAGGCTCCCTGCAGAGGCCCTCTGTGCTTCGTAGTGACGTAACGGTCTCTCTCTTTCCCGAAGGAAAAGCATGCTCCCTCCACAGTCCTCCTAGCCCTTTTGTTGGCCTGGGAAATGAAGGGGCTCTGTCTGGTACCTTGAAATATCCATTTATTTGTAAGTTCTGCATTCCTCTTCTCTTTTCTTACAGTCTGGATATGGGCTTCATCTCCAGGACTTCAGCCTTAGCACCATGGGTGTGCACCCCTCTCCATTCCAAGGCAGGGTAGTGTAGCACTGATCCACCGTACATCCCTGTTACACGTGGCAGCGTGTTGGTGGCGGTGGCAGTAGCTGGGCAGGGAGACCCCTGCCTGGGAGCAGTCCCACAGCCACATGGCATCCACTGCTGTGCACTGAGGACAAGGTCAGGACTGGGCTTGGGTGGCCAAGACCAAGATGTTGTCCTCCTCTTGGAAGAGTGTTGCTCTCCATATTTTGTTAAGTATGTGCCAGCTGACAGGTCTCCTGCCTTCTCTGAAAAGGGTTCTTGACATTCATTTGAAGAGCGCCGATAGCTGGGAGCTGAGGTAGTTCAACACAGACCATTTCTTCGTTCTGCTGGGAAAAATACTTGTTTTTCTTAACTTTTTGTCTGAAATTCTCTCTGAACAGACTGTGTATGCTTTGCCAACCATCGCTTTTGCATTTGTGTGCCACCCATCAGTCCTTCCAATTTACAGCGAACTTAAAGAGTAAGCCTTTCTCCTTTTTTTTTTTTCCTGTTAATTGTTTTCACTGTTTTGCATGGAAAATGTTAGTGCAGAGGTGCTCTGAGTCATTCTTGCCATTCAGAGGAGATGTGCTTCAATAAAAGCAAACAAGTCAATGAGTGTGGCTGTCAGCTAGGAAAGCTGGACTCCCAGAGGTGCCGTTGGGGTGGAGAAAAGCTGAGGATAATGCAGTACATGGGGAGTTTTCTCTGGAAGTACATGGCAGCCTGGGGAGAGCCAAGTTGTGCCGACTGCTGTTATTTTGCATAGGAAGGAGACGTGTGTTCAGCCCACGGCATTTGTTCCAGTGTAGCTAAAAATCTGGTGTGGTACCAGAAACAAAAATGATTTTCAGCCTTGCCTATGCTACTGTGTTCTCACCAGAATGGCCGACTTGTTGTGGTCTTGAGCAGGATTGTGCAGAGCTGGAGCTTGGCCCTGCTGCAGCCTGGCTGGGGCAGGGAACAACATGGGGCTGGTGTGGAGCCCTGCGCCCTGGAAGTGGGAAGGAGGCACCAAAAGGAGGGTTGTGAACAGCCAAACTCATGGGGACCCTCAGGATATGCTCAAAGCTGGGCACTTTGTATTTCACTTGAGTTCATCAGGTTCTCTGGCCCTTTTTAGGGTATCCCTGCATGTATTTAGAACTCTCTCTCTCTCTCTCTCTCTCTCTCTCTCTCTCTCTCTCTCTCTATATATATATATATACTATTTCACAGCAAATATTTAAAAATGAAATATTTACACTTGATCTATTTTGCGGATCTGCAGTGGTGTGTATGCATCCATTATTTTCTATTCATGGCAATACACATTTTTTTCTGCAAACATTCAGAATGTTGTTTTTGGAACTTTTTTTTTTCCTGTGTGTATGTTTACTCTCCCTTTACTTTGCCCTTTTAATTTAATTACTGATGTGTTTAAGGGCTCTCCCTGCCCACTCAAATTTCCCTTCCCTCTGTTTACAAGAGTATGGACTGGGAGCAGAGCCGTTGCTGGGCTTAAACTCCAAGATCAATTTCTCCCACCTCTCTCTTCCTTGTGCAGCTGTCAATGAATGCCTGTTTTAAATGAAAATGAATTCATGGGTCTCTCCAGGATTGATATGTTTATGCAAAGACTTGATACATTTTTAAACAGCTATTCAGAAATGCAATCCAACCATTTTATATGCCTTCTTTTTTTCTTTTTCCAGCCGCTCACAGAAAAAAATGCAGTTGGTTTCAAATATCTCATTTTTTGCCATGTTTGTGATGTACTTTATGACTGCCATATTTGGCTATTTGACTTTCTATGGTAAGTATGCAGACAGAGATTACACATGAAATCGATAGTGAATCCCAACTGGAAAGTCCCATTCACTTACATTAAAATACTTTTTCAAAAAATTTTCCTTAGGGTTTTCATACTGAAGGTATAAACCCTTTCCTCTCTCCCCCTGAGATGAGAAACACAAGTGAAAATAGTGTTTACAGAAGGCATATTCAAAGTATGAGGAAGATTTATTTAGCGGAACTGGGGATTAGCTGGGCCCTACCAAGACTTTTGTTCCATGGTCCTTACCTGGGTTGTTTTCTTTTTGTATGCATTGGTAATAACTGATGTGTGACTGTATAAAATGAGGAAGGTTTGAAAACAGGTCCTAGGAATTGGATATCAAATAAGTCAGGATATCAAATGAAGCAGGATTTTTTGCTTTCTTATTTAATGTTTTAATCGTAGACAAAACATTACGTATTTTCCTTGTGTCCCTGGGGTTCACCCCTTCAGTTTTTGGTTACATAAATTGACTGCAAAGGGTGAAGAAGCTCAGAGGGTTGTCCCAGCTCAGCAGCCAAGCGTGGCTATTACACTGTCTGGGACTTGCACTGCGTCTCTTCTAAAATATTGGTTAAGTTAGCGAAACAAACAAACTGTGTTGTATTGCTGTCCTAAAGGAACAGATATAATTATTAAATAATAGGATAAAAAATGAATGTGGCCCAGGAAGCTACTCCCATTTCCCAGTATAGTGGAAAAGTTGAAGCGCAGTGTGTTTGCTCATAGGCCGTTAAGGGGTTATGAGACAGATGACTCAATTGACATTTGTCTTTTATCTCAGAGTCAGCTAAAGGTCATCAGTCTTCTTCACTGTATATTCTATATCCCAAGTGACCTTTTTGTTACAGTCTCCCCATTTGTGACACCATTCATTGTGAGCCACATACTGCAAGAGAAAGAAAATAAGTAAATATGAAATTTGGCTTTTTTTTTTTTCCAAAGGTGTACCTATCTCGATTTTTTCAGGCTTACAACGCCTTGAGCCTTCTTGTCTTGAAGTAATTTGAGGTCCTCAGTTGTGATTTTCCCAATAAAACTGATGGAAGTGAGAGAGTATCTGCTACAAGTGACAGCAGCAGCAGCTGTTCTCATCTGTCTGCTGCTTGCTAGAACACTTACAGAAACACATCAGATCAGTAGCCCCAGGAGGGCAGTGGGAGTGAATCAGCATGGACCCACTCCCACGGACACTTTGTCTTGGCAGGAAGGAAATTTTGGTGAGGTCACCCCAGGGATGTAAGGAGGCAGATACCCGTAGGGACCTGGGAACCTCTCACACCCCATGGAGGAGGCAAAGGCTGCATCCTCCTGACCCCTGGGAGGGAGAGGAATTTCCCTCATGGAGCCGGCGTCCCTGCACATGGACACCATGTGCTTCCACACAGCTCCACTGGGGCTCATACAAACACTGGTGATCTCAGGGTTAGTGCCACAGAAACAGCACAGAGAGGAGCCTAGGGAATATTGACCCCCTCCACTCCACTCCTACTTGCCCTTGGGACTAAGATTTTGCCTTATGTATGTGCACTTAGTTTTCTAACCTCTTCCCCAGCTGGGTAAGACCAGGGTTTTTATTTTGTCCATTTCATTTTTACACCAGTAGTGCTTGTCTGTTTGCTGTGTTCTCGAAAGTATTGCAGTTATGACTATATTTACATTGCAGAATTACAGAAAAGAGGTGTTTTTCTTCCCCTAAAAGGTCACTGTGGTTGGGCTCTGTGGTGTATCTAGCTGAAAGGAAAACAGACCTTCAACTGTAAGCCTTGCCTTTCACTTCCTACCCGGCTGCAGCCCGTGAGCGGTACAGAAGTTGCAGTCTGTGCTCGCAGGAGCAGAGTAAGCTCTGTGTCGCAGAAGCTGTGCATGTGCCCGGCTTGAAAATCCCACTCCTAACCTGCAGGGAGGTGGGAGAGTGTTTTTTTTCTCCTGATTGGAATTCAGGCGCTGCGGAGAGGTGTTGAGAGGTGGTCTCGCCCCAGGAGGATGCCCCGGGGGGGAGCACAGGAGTTTCGCTGCAGGGCGGCTCTCTGCCTTCAAGAATAGAGGAGGTTGTACCAAGATTTTGATCTACACATGCCCACCGAGTTCCGCTTAAGGACTTCGGTTTAAGAGCGGTTTAAGAGTTTACTGTCAGCCTTCTAAGATTAGCAGACAGAAACAAAATACAAGCTGTTCTAAAACAGGGCAGCGAGTGTGGTTCTGTGGTGTGTTTCACAGCCGCCTCCCTGAGTTGCCGTGCCTAAATACTAGAAAGACACAAAGCAAGCACGTAGGTCCCCCAGCAACTTGCTTTCCCTGCCCATTATCAGTATTTAAACGGAGTGCAAAGGGAGCATTTTTGCAGGAGGGCTTTTTAAAGCATGGCCACTGCCTTCCCGCTAGCAGCCCAGCGTGCTCCCTTGGGCACGCTGGTTGCGCAGAACGCACTGGCTATGCTGTGGGCACTGTAAGGGGCAGCAGGTTTAAGAGAAAATTCAGAAGGGCAGCCCTCTGTGGAGCTGCCCAGGGGTGTGAGTGCAGATGTCAAAACATCCCACAGGGAGCTGACCTCAGACAGGTTTTGTTCTTGTTTGGAAACAGAGGCACTGCTTTGTACTGGGAGTTTATTGGCTGTTTTGATTAATTGATCTCAACCCTGTAATGTATATTTAACTCAGCCATTGCAGTGCATATCATTTCAAACTTTAAAACTTTAAAAACAAGTCCACAGAACTGACTAGAAGTAGCTTATTTTACTTTAATTATTTTTCATATATATGCATATATTTAAGAAAGTTTTGGTGTATGTCTCACTGTTGTCTTTCCTACAGTGAAAATCACCTTAGACTTAAGCATGTGCTGTCTTGAATTAGGATGCATTCCTTAATCAGTCCTCCAAGGGATTAATCTGGAATAATGAGATCATTAAGATTTGGTTCAAAATGCTGTTTTAACTCAAGAATGTTCATTCCATACTCTTGTTTGCAGATAAATCACTTGTTGTTCAAGAAGTCTGTTGTTAAGCAGTGATTTTTGTAAACTAATTGCCTCCTTGCCAGAACTCTTACCTAATTGTCTTTTCCATAGAAAATGTGCAGTCAGATCTGCTTCACAAGTACCAGAGTAAAGATGACATCCTCATCCTGACGGTGCGCTTGGCTGTGATTGTTGCAGTTATACTCACAGTGCCAGTGCTGTTTTTCACTGTAAGTAAAAGGCTCCACATGATTTGGAAGCAAGTGATCTCCGTGCACATTGGATTTTTTCAGAACAGTCCAACCATTTGCTAGTCACTAATGTTGCAGCTACTAAACAACTTGAGCTTGGATCAGTCTTTTCCCACACTGGATTCCCAGTGGCTTCTGGAGAGCTTCTCCCTGCAGGAAATAAATGAATCACTTCTAGCTCTAATTTGAATCCACAAGGGCCCTCTCTTCCTTCGCATGATTTCACTGGAGCAGGCTGAGAGGTGAAGTTCATTATCCCAAAAGGCATGGTAGAAAGGGAGGAATGTCCCTCAGATGCATCTACACATACATTTTTGAAACACCAGAATAATTGCAAGGATTATTTCAAAAGGCTGTACATCTGAGTGCATAAATTTTCTGCCAGATTGATGTAGAGCTCGTTGTCACATGAAGAACTGGATAAAATAATCATGGGGAGCCTTGAACTGGCTGATGGACTGCTCCTAACAGAGAACTCTCTTTTCCTACAGGTGCGTTCGTCATTATTTGAGCTGGCAAGAAAAACAAAGTTTGACTTATGCCGTCATGTTTTGGTTACTTTTGTTCTTTTGGTTATCATCAACCTCTTAGTCATTTTTATCCCAACCATGAAGGATATTTTTGGAGTCGTAGGTACAGTATCCTGTCTTCGTACTGCCAGTAAAAAAACTGTTGCTAATTAGCAACATAATAATTATGGTGTTGGCAACTAATAATACTCATTCATTTGAATTTTGCAGGGGTCACTTCTGCCAATATGCTGATTTTCATTCTTCCTTCATCATTGTATTTAAAAATTACACATCAGGATGGAGGAAAATTTACTCAGAGGATTTGGGTATGCATTCCTTTCTGGTCTATGCAAAGCATTTTGCGTGTCATTCCTTAAAATGAGTTAGATAGAAAGCCTGCTTAATCTGAACGTGTGTAAGCTGCTTCTCCTGACTTTCCATTCTTGCCTCCATTAGCTAGCAGCCTTTTCATTTGCTCTGTGTGTCTCCTGGTGCTGGGCTCCCCTTTGCACCAGGGCTCTTCTCTGTGGAGTGAGGAACTCTTCCCTCTGGGGGAGCAGAAGCTCTGCAAGCAGCCACAGTTTTAACCAAGATGTGTGTGTCCTTTCAGCATGCTGAATCAGAAGGCATACAGCACGTTCCGCATCCAGGCTTTGAGGAGAATAGAGCTGATAAGTCCTAAAGGCAGACTCATTTAATCCTTTTTAGGGATGGTTGGCATCTAACAAGTGAACTGAAAGGGGAAAAATTGTTTTTGATGTTCAGCACGTAATTATTAATGACAGTAATCTGCTTAATTATCTATGGGTCTTGTCTTCAGCAGAAGACATATCCCGTTTTAGCTCATGGTTTTGATACATCACTTTGTAAATCACCTTAAGAAGAAAAGTTAACACAATTGAATTAATTGTCTTTTATTTTGTTCATTACTTTTCTTTTTGTTTCAGGCTTCCCTTTTCTTGGCACTGGGAATAATGTTTTCCCTAGTGAGCATCCCATTGGTCATCTACGACTGGGTGCAGTCAGGAGGTAGTACTGAAGGCAGCAACTGAAGTTGACCTTCTGAAAAGGAGACATGCCTGTTTGCTACACACCAAAATCGCAACCATCCATTCTGTTATCTATTCTACCTTTTGTGAGTTTACTCAAATCAAATCCAAATAATGATTTTCCAGTACTGAATATGCTGTTTTGGGTGTATTTTCTTGCAGAAAACAGACCCGTTATTCCAACAGGCATATCGTTCTGTCCCACAATACTGAGTTATCAGATCAGCATAAATTCTGTATTGTCTGCAAGACTATATAGAGTATTGCTCATAGGAATTCATCACAATTTGTTTTTCCACTTCCACCCATGAACTGCATTGTTCTGTTATTATTCTTAGCCCTTGAACCATGAGCTCTGCTCCTTTAGAGCAGCAACATGTGTTATCAATTCCAGCTGGAGTGATTATCCCAAATGTCATCAGTACACTCCCTTTCCCATTGCGTTTTAACAAAAACTGCTCTCGAATTGTATGCATTGTTTGTTTGTTTGTTTGTTCTGTTGCTGTTTTGTACACCATTTGCCTCACCAACTAAGTGTAGCATTCTGGATATGGATACAAAAAGCACCACCAGAGCATAAATGAGCGCTGTATAAACTTAGGTCCTAAATCTGGTGCTTCTCCTGTAATGTTGCAGTGGAGGAGCCAGCCTTAGGCTTGGCTCGTTTGTTGCTTTGAGAAGCAGGCGTGTGTGTGTGTGTGTGTGTGTGTGTGTGTGTTTGTGTTTGTGTTTGCAAAGGGGTACAAGGAGCTGGAGTAGGATGATCATCATCAGCCACCATTTCCCTGCTATCTTTCAGTTTGCGCCTGGCCACCAACAGCCAGGATGCTCAGCAATGAGCATCTGCAATGAGTACCTGAACCTGAAGAGAAGCAGATGCTCAGAGATTTCCATAGGAAGTTTCTGCATCAAACTGTTCACTAATGCCCTGCTCTTCCCAGAAAACAATGGCAGTCTCCATTTTTATCAAAACCTGCACATTTAATTATACCTCATGCCTTTTGCATTCTTGGATTCATCTGTACACACCTAGGGTGACCCTGTAGAGATTTGGTCCTCTCGTGTTTCACCCCCCTCCCGCTGAAGTCAGCAGGGTTTCTGACTGCATTTGGAGCAGGATCTTACCCTACTGAAGATTTCACCCGCCAGATTTCTAATGGAATTTGAAGTCTGTAGTATTTCTTTCAAATAACATAAACACTTTGCATTATTGAAATGTTTTATTTACATTTCACATCAATTCTTTATAACAGTTACGGAAAAGACATTAAATTACTACTAGCAGAAACACTGTAACTTGTATCTGTTGTCCACAGAGTATTTGCCTAATGCCTTATAGCTGGTGTAGAGAACTACTTGTAGAGATTCAAATGCTAAGCAGGTGATAGTTGACCATACTCAGCAGACATCTGTTAGTGCACTGCCAGCAGCATAATTGTGTTCACTTCGTATCATTCATCCTGTGAGCTAAAAATGTGTCTGAGTTTTGCTCTCATAAGATGAAACTGGCTCCTGAAAAAAACCTGAAGGCTGAGGGAGCCCTAGGTCACATCCAAGGGCTAAGTAATGCCCTAATTTGTATTGGAGATGTCAGTGTGCAGTGACCCTCTGGCTCCCACTGTAGCTGTGGGAGGAACCTGTAGTTAACAGCACTGCCTGTGAGTAAACTGTCATTACAGCTTGTTGTTTCTAAGGTTAGGGATGGAGAATTCAGGGTCTTGGGATTTCTGTGAGCTATTGAATTACCTCAGTTCCCCCACTTTGTCCTACATGGCTTGAAGGCACTGAGAGTTGAGACCACAGAGGGTCTCAGGACCTTGAGAGTTGGTTTCTAAGGGTAACATACAGAGAGGTTAGTTTGGGGCCTTACTTGGACTTTAGGCATCAATGTGTGGAGAGGTCCTTGGAGCAGCCTGACAGCAAGAAGAAAACTGGAAGTCCCCTCTTCATCAGGGACCACTTTCATCAGATGGGCCCTCATTCACTGTAGACTACAAGTCCAGGTCCTAGTGAAAGTCTAGAGAGAAGAATCTGTGCTTGCCATCTCCTCTCAGCTTGTTCCCTGTGTCTTCCAGCTTGAGATGTCATTTGTGGCATCCCTTTTACAGGCACCCACAAAGGCAGCCATAGCAGGAGGATGGTTTCTAACTTTGAATCAGAAAGACGTGTTACTGTGGCTTGTGGAGACAGGACATGGGGCAATGGTTTTAAACTAGAAAAGGTTAGAATTAGATTGGAAGGAAGTTCTTCATGATGAGATTGGTGAGGCACTGGAACGAGTTACTCAGAGAAGTTGTGGATGCTCCATCCCTGGCTTTGTTCAAGATCAGGTTGGATGGGGCTTTGAGCAACCTGGCCTATAGTGGAAGATATCCCTGCCCATGTCAGTGGGGTTGGACCAGATCATCTTTAAAGAACCCTTCCAGCCCAAACCATTTGATCATGCTATTATTAGCTTGCTGTAATCACGTGTCAGGATTCAAGGCATCTTATAATCTCTCTAGATTTCATCCCAATAAACCTAACTCAGACCTGAGAATACTGTATAGTGTTATCCTCATAATGCTCCAAGGCCCTTCTGCTTTCATTCCCCCTTTATCCTTCTACTACTGATCTATGAGCAGTGATATTCTGTGCACTGAGGGGCTGTGAAAGAGGAGATCCTCGAGTGATTTTCAAACACCCAGGTAGGATCTAGAGGTCTGATCTGCTGCACAGAGTCCCAGCAAGGTCACAACTATGTTTTCCCTTCTGTCCCTTCCCCATATTATGTAATCTTGTGTACTACACTTTGACTTGAAGAGCTGTTGGATGACTGATTGCTTCTTGCATCTTCCTGAGTCTCCTCCATGACAATCCCTCTCCCCCCTCTTTGTTCTTCAGCCTTCTTCCTTTTCCTGGTTTATTTGTATACTGGAGTTTTACTGGATAAATAGGGAGAAGAATGATCTGGGTGTGTGCACAGAGGGAAATTACCCAAGGTACAGTACCATCAAAGCATATTTTAGATACTGAAAGACAGGTACCTGAAATACTGAGTCTTCAAGTAGGCTTTATTTCTGGGTCTGTGGAAAAAAAAAAAAAAAGAAAAAAAAAAAGAGGGAATTTTGCTTAGGCTGATTACTGGCATCATATTTATAGATATTTATGGAAAGGAATCATGTGTTTATTGATGTCTGTGGTAATGAACGTGAAATAACGTGCTTTTTGTTTTCTCATCAGGTTTATACATTCTTAACAGAATGCAATAGACCCTGCTGTAACTGTCAACATCAGTGATGGATGACAATATTTGTGTGAGGTTATCTGTAAAATGTACTGCTGTTATTCAGTTCATTTGGAATAGTGAACTTGTAGCCAACAATGTACGAGTCCCACATTTTAGCTAGGATTTAAAGAGCACAGTGAAATGCTGTAGGAGTTTCTCTGTTGTTAAATTAATAGGATCCAGAGTACCCTATCTGCTTAGTAGGTGGTAGCATGCTTTCTTTTCATAGAGAGTTTATCACTATCGTGAGCACTGCAAAGTTCATAGACTGGATGAAAAATTGCTCCTAGTAAGTGCAGCAAAATACTTTAAACTTCTCTTTTAACAACAACAGCTTTAATAACAACAGTTATTAACAGTTTTAATAACAACAGCTGAGTGGTGAGAGACAAGGAAGGAGTAATTAGGAGCAGGGGCTTCTAGTAAGATCGCAGGAGCTAATCCTACACTGAAAAGACAGACTTGCTGCCTCTCCTAATCCACAGCACATTGCAAAGAAATTAGTTTTGAGCTTAAACCACCCTTTCAGTTGCAGAATACAGCTACTTTTCTCTGGCTGGCAGCAAACATGCCTAATAAGTAAAACACAGTGGGTTGTTATTGGAGAACAGTGTGTTGAAAGTGGAAATCTCTCTGGGTAATGCTTGCTCCTGGTCAGAGAGCCAGTGCCAAATCTGTGCACCAGCACAGGTCTTTAGTAGGGCTCACACAGACCCGAGCAATGCCCGACCCCTGTGTGGAGCTGGAGGGGGAAGGGCCAGCCCCATCCTGTGAGGGCAGGGACACCCACCCATCCTTGAAGGCTGTTGTCCTGAGCTGCATACAGATCCATAGCTTATGCTCCCTTTGGAACAAGTCATTTGTGCAAATGCAGTTCTGATGTTACATGGGTTTTGTCTGTACATCTGCCTTACAAGGCAGAAGCACCACAGGTCTCTCTGATTCTGAGTATTAACAATTGCAAGCAGTGGTATCTCTAGCTCGTCATTAATTTAATACGTTTCTTTGCTTGAACCTTACATTAAGGCTAAAGAGCATCTTGGTCAAAACAAAACTCTTTCCATGTGGTGTTATCCCACCTCCAGTCCTAATGTCTCACCCCGGTGCCTTTAGGAGAGAGGCACAGCAGAATGTATTCAGGTCCATCAGCAGTTCCGTGAGATGGCTTTATCTCCTGGTACCAGGCTGCTCGCTTAAACAGCTTGGCATCAGGAAAGTCCTTATTTCCTATAAGGTACACAAAGAATGTTTTATTTGTATCTAATGTAAGGATTTCTGTAACAAACTGTGAAAAAAAAAAAAAAAAAAGAAAAGATAATGGATTATTAAAAAGTACAGGGCTGGAAAGGTCTAGAATTCACAAATTGTACACATGCCTGTGTTTCTGAAGACAAATCTATGCAGTTGTGTTTTACTGTAGGAAATTTCGTTTTTATGTACATATATATATTGTAAATAAATAGGATGCTGTATATTTTTGCAGTTGTTTATCCCCTATGATATATAAGTGTTGAGATAGGCTCTGCATATTAAGAATAATTTTAATAGAAATACAAGTGCTTTAGCTTCAGACTTAGCAAAATCTATATCTTTTCCTTTCTTCCAAGAGTTGGCAATTTAAATCCTGAACTTGAAATTATAATTACATTGCTAATGTAAAAACAGCAAACCAAAAAAAAAAAAAAGAAAAAAAAAAAAAGAAAAACCAGAAAAGGTCCAATGAAATTGCTAGGCCTAATTGCAGCACATCTCCCCGGTTTCTCCATAGCAAGTCTTTCCTAGCACAGAGGGCACATTTAGTGCCCACAGTTCCTGAGCTGAGGTCAGGTGGCAGCAGCACGCTGACACAGCCTTATGCAGAAAGCAGAGTAAGCTGCAGCCTGCAACCTGCCCTAACGTTATGTCACTTTGGTTTTCAGGCATAGGTATCTATATTCCGTGGAAGACAACTAGTACAGATAGAAGTCAGACAAGGACTTGTGCACTTCCTTTTCAGCCAGCAAAAACGTAGTTGAGACATGAAGTATCACATACCAGGGTAGGTGACAATCACAGCAACTGGTGCAGTTTTAGCCTGTGTCCCGCAGCTCCCCACCACGGCCTCAGGCATCTGCTATCTGTGACCACACGAGCACCTCCTGTGCTGGGAGATATCAGCCGCACAGGGATGGCTTTGTATGTATGATGAAGCAGACACCAGCATTTTGTTCGGGGGATGGCTGCGTGTCTGGGGTGCAGGGGTGGAAGGGAACCACAGTTGTGTAAGTCCTGAGACTGCCTCCACAGGAGTGCAGCCTTGGTGCTGCAGGCATAGAGTCTCACTAGTAAAACATGGAAATGTGTTTTTCAGGATTGATGGAAAGCAGAGCTTGAGACGTGCCTCTAAAAATAATTGTATTCTTTCCATGCTTAGTTTATTATCTTGGATGAAAATGAAACTTGAAATAGCATTTGCTTTCACCGTGAGCACAAATTTGAGGAAAAAATTACATGCAGTCACTTCTATGGAGCTTTTCAAATTAATAGTACGTTTTGTTTTCACTGTTACAGCCAACAAAATACAAACTGTAAAGGTATATTTCCACAAGACTTGAACTTGTTTATAGAAATCTGTTTATAGCATCCCAAGGTACGCTAAGGCTCACCCAAACCCAGTGTTAACAATACAGTTTGAGTGATGTACATTCAATACGAGCTCATCTCTAATAGATTGTTCAAGTGAGTGATTGGTAACATTTTGCTCCTGCTATCATCATCATACTTTGTGCTCTTCATGTTCAAATAAATGATGCAGTTTTCAGTTTCAGTGTGTAAATAAACTAAAAAAAAAAAAAAAATGTATTATGTTCTGTAATCTCTCTGTTACCTCTATAGTTTTTGAACATTAAAATTGTGATCTCAGCTAACGTCTGGGCTATAGTCATTCTTTGAAGGGGATGAATGCGTATCGTTTTAATCCCTTAAACAGGATGTGTTCCCAGCTCTTATGCAAGTGTTTCCACTGAACTCAGGGCTTGCAGCTCTTCAAAGCCAATTCCATAAGACCAGAATATAGAGCACAACAATACATGGCGGTGGAGATCAGCATTTCTGACAGAGCTTTAGAGGGATTTGAAGCTAGGACTTAGATTCACCACAGAACAGAGTTGCTGATCAGTGTTTCCTTCTGTCCATTCCCTGAAGGATATCCACACTTTCACCAGGCTTTTCCAGTGTAAAGCAATAAGGGCTCCTGTACTTGGGTTTGAGCTTAGATGCCAAAATAGTGTCTGGAATAGAACAACCCCTGCTCTATGTTCTCTGCTACTGAGGCAGAAACTTGTAGCAGAAGGATGAGGAAGATATCTGAGTGTTTCTGACTAGATCTGTCAAAGTGCCTCTGTCACAGCCTAAAGAGGTCTAAAATGCTAACTTTTTGCCTTTGACCACAAATTTTAAATAGTGTTGAGATTATAGTGATCACTTATAAGACAAGCTCTTGGCTGGAGCCCTGGCCATGAGTCTGAAGGAGTCAGTGTCTGTGATGCAGCCTGCGCAGCCCCTCTGACAAATGATGGAAGGATCTGTGTTCCAGGAGATCCTTGACAAGTCTTTGCCTGGTCCACAAACCCAGGGAAATGTCTCTGACCTGGTCCAATATCTTGGCCCCTTCAGGCATACCATTCGGTTCTGCTCTCTACCCACTAAAGCAGTCACCTCAGAACTATGCCTTAAAGCTCAGGAGAATGGCTTTCGGAGTAGAGTGAGTGAAGAAGCTGTATTTCTATTCTTCCTGCCTGCAGAGAAAAGCGCAAGCATCTGTCACCTTCTGCAGTGCAGATTGACAGCTTTGCCTCAAGTTCACCCAAAACCAAAGAACGCAGCTTCCTTCCTAGCCACTGACTGCTATCTTTTCCTTAGTCTTTATGAATCCCTGTGGCTGGCCAGATGTCTGAGTTCATCTAACCATTCCCTACTTGGGGGTACAAAAAGTAAGGAAAATTACCTTTTCCCTGGGCATAGAATGCCCCATCTGAAGGGAGAGACACCCTCCCACCCCCCCATTTGGTTGAAGTTTTACTTCAGCTCATGTTCATGCAGCTGGTCTTCAGGCTGAAGCTAAATTCAGCCACTATTAAGACATCTCATCCTTCACTGTGCCCAGAGCTGGAAGTGCTCACACCAGCCTTGATAAGTGTGGAGGAAGCTGAGAAGAGTAACAGGTCTGTTTCCAACCTATCTAGTCACAAACCCATGACAAACCGAATGTGGTCTTTGCTTTTGTTCTCACGCTCCATAGGACTGCAGTAGCATTTGCTTTGTGTGCAGCTGTGCCTTGGTCGAAACAGGCCCTACTTACCATTAACAGTGCGCTTACACAAGTTTTCAGGCAGCCTAGTACCTGTCTTTCACAGACATTACCTACCATGCATTTCACTTTCAAGTTACTGTTAGAGACAATGAAGCCTGTGTGTATTACACTGCTAAATGCCACAGCTTTGGCAAGAGAAAGTGCTGTTGGCTTAGCAGGCCTCATCCTTGCCATGGCTTACTGCTTGAAAAACATGAGCTTAGTGGGATTCTTGGAAAAAGGTGTAGTTCGACCAAAATTGAGACAATAGAGCTGTGAAAGTAGACTGCAATGGGCTGGGTGCCTACCCCTGTGCAAATGCACCACGTCAGTGAGCCCATCTGTAGAGCAAAGCTGCTCCATGGCACTGCCTGGCTGAAGGGCCTGGCCCCATTGGCATTGCTGCCCTGAAGAACTGGAAACCAAAACATACCTTGGAGACAAGAACCACGTCCCTTCCTTGGAAAACACTTCCCAGCTTGAAGCCTCCAGTTCTTTCCTCAGAGGCGGCCATAGCTCTGGCTCCCTGCTTGTCATGGCTCGTTGGCAGTGCATTGGCTCAGCAGAAGGCAAGCCCCACTGGCAGCTGTGAAAAGCTAGTGATGTTTGTCTGATGTGTGGCAGAGAGCATCACTGTAGGCCATACCCTGTGAATGCACCAGGCTCTGATCATGCTCATGTCCTGTGAGCTCCTCCTTCCTAGACACCTCTGGGGACCTGTGATCAGGTATGTTCCCAAAAACTGCTGATTTTCCAGTAAGGCTCAGTGAGCTCCCATCCTACTGGAAGGACACATACACACGTAACATACAAAAGCACAGCTGCCACAGGCACAACAAAATCTCAGCAGGTGACAGAACACGTGCGACAAATTTTAGTCCCACTCTGAGGCAGCCTGAAGGAGTTCACCTGCCACTGTAGGGAGCACTGGGCACAAGGCAGACAGGACTGTTCAGGCAGAGGCTGCAGCCCTGCACTGTCTCATTACTGCCTGTTATAGTCTGGCCCTGCACCCCAGGCAGAGATGCCACCACCTTGCCTTAACCAGGACAGTCTGAAGTGGTGTGAGAGGAATTTCTTCAAAAAGAGAGTGTTCAAGCACTGGAATGGGCTATGCAGGGAAGAGAGGGAGCCCTCATCTCTGGAGGTACTTAAGAGATGTGCAGACGTGGCACTAAGGGACGTGGCTTAGGGATGTGACTCAGTAGATCAGGTTGATGATTGGACTACATGGTCTTGAAGGTCTTTTCCATCCTTTTTGATTCTGTGATTCTGTGACAGCTGAGGTTGCTCAACACTCCCCTTTGCAGTTTCTCTTTTTTACACAGCATCAGATCAAGCTTTGTGCAGAACTTTTTGGCAGTGATGGAAGAGATGAAAGCGATGTACCAGTTGTAGGAGCATCAAATACTGCTTTCTCTCCACTTTACAATGGAGGATGGCCAGAATAGGATTGCAAGGGGCTCCATGCAGGCACCACTCTCCCAGCTCTGCTCCCAGGATCTGCAAGAAGCAGACCTGTGCCTCATCACAGGCATAATGCATTTTGGGTCTCGCTGTGGCCTTCAGCATGCATGGCCCCATGCAGAATGGGGTACAGCCTAGCAGGACCAGCGTCTTTGATAGAGCTCCAAAATGCTCCATCAGACAGCGTTCACCTCCGATGTGCTGCCTCATCTTTCCCCTGTGTTTCTATGGAAACTGGTCTCACCTCTGCTCACTGCACACACAGCCATCAGAAATAAGCTGCAAGTTTTGGGAGCTGTAGTGGAACTGGTGGGCATCTGGCATCCATGCAAGTGGGTTCTCCTAACATGCACACAAAGGGCCCTTGTCCTTGCTTGTCTGTATGCTCTGTAATACAGCTTTCTCCCTCCTTGGTCTGCTCCCACTTCCACCACCACCGCCACCACATCATGGCTGTCACCCAACCCCTTTCCATCTGCAAGTGAGCAGTAGGAAGAGGATGAGGCGGCAGTTTTGCACTGCCAAGCTTCCACACACAGCCCAGAGCATGGAGGATCTGCTGGCCAAATGTCTCCCAGCCTCTGGGAGCAGCTCTGCAGAGCTTAGCCACGCTCCTGGATGCTCAGCCCACAGCAGCAATGTGGCAAACATGGCACTCAGCAGCTCCACTGAAGGAGTGGGACATGTATAAAATACATGACAAGTATAAAAAAGCATTGTTCTACCCTGGGTAATTATAATGGAGTATAGAGGAGCTAGACGCCAAGGTATTGGAAAGTGTTATGATAACAAAGAAACTCATAAAGAGGGTGGAGAAATTTTTACGACGTGAGATCAGATTAATGACCTGCACAACGACTGCAGTAAAAACAGCAACATACAGATGCTACAACATTTGTAGAACACATTTCTTGAAGCCATAACTAAAGCCTGTAATTTCCTAGGATGTAAAAAAAAAAATTATATGCTCCCTGACAAAGGCAGTTCGTGCACTCTGAAGTCTCCTCAGGCTTTGTGCAGGCAACAGCTCCCACTAGTACTTTTACAGGAAAGCTGGATCTCCTATTAATTTTCAGATACCGTTTGTAGATAATCAGAGAAGTACCAGATGCTGCAGAAATAACTTCCCTGCCGTAATGAGGAATTATATATATCTGGCAATTAGATCATCATAAAATAAAAGGAAAACAAGCATCAGTCTGCCATTCTTGTATTCAGTGGCATTTAAACAATGAAAGCAGTCTCTCTTACTACGTCTGGCAGCCCTCCAGCAGCACTTTGAAAAGGCAGTGTGGCCTCCGTGTAAATTGATAAACAATCTTGTTGAGCAACAGGAACAGGAACATTCAAGCCTTTGTTAAATTTTGACTCTAGTGGAGCACTAATTGGCACCTTTCTGGGCAGAACAAACAGGGTCAACCTCTTTGCTTTACGCAGGCAGATAATTTTAACCAGAAGCCACAAGCCCTACTGCTAATGAAACAAAAGTGGGGAACAGGGGTACTAAGAGAAATTGATTTCTTAAAGAGTTCTGGTACAGGGCAACCAATCATATTTGATGAAAAAGCCTGAATAACTGACACTTAGCTGTGTTGATTATTTCAGTATGGATTCGGGATCACCACAAAAGCAGAATTTTCATCTTCACTTGGGATATTGTTTCTGATCACTGACCATATCACCCAGGAGCAAGGTAATTCAGACAGGGGATAAAACCTTCACCTTTACTCTGAGCTAAGGAACAGAATTCTTTCATGCAGGGCAGCTAGGTCTTGCTGAGATGCAGAGTAGCCTCTGGTGAGCAGGAAGGCAGCTCAGACACCACCTACTTATCTCCCGCAGACCGGTGCTTCCATGCATCCCTGCCTGCTCCGGAGCACACCAGGGCGAGTCCAGCACTTCCCTATTCCTCTTTGCAACTGAGCAAATCATGAGCCCTGCTAAGCAAAAGATGCATGCCAGCTGGGGATCTGCAACCCCCAGGCAGGCACCTAAAGCAAGTGACTGGCCCTATAGCACAACAGGCACACAAGTCTTTGACTTGTCTGGGGACAAGTGTGCTAAAAAGAGCGGTCAAATATAAATCAGTTCATTCAGGTAGTAACATAT